CAAGGAAAAGGATTCTCTTAAAAAATAAAAATGCATATAAATTCCATCTATTGACGCCTACTCCTTACTTTCGATTTCTAGTCAGCAATGCCCAATAGTAGTTTCACAAAATATTTCAACCCCTCTTTCTTCTTCAGCCTTATCCCATTCTACAAACAAACCAAAAGCAAAAATAATGAAAAGATAAAATTCGACATTCTCCCAGTCCCCCTAATCCATTTCCTCCGCCAGTCTATATGCTTCTTAATCCGGCCCAAATGCTGCGGTTTCTATATTAACACATCATGAAGGCGCACAGAAAATGCTGATTGTTCCTTTTTTGTTGAAATAATCGTGAGATTTGTTATATCGCATGAAAAGAAAAGAAAAAAGTGAAAAGATTCTTTTTTAATGAGGCCGTCGCTCGAAAATGAATGCCGGTAACCATGATGGCCAGTGTACAACCGTTTATATAAATGAGACGTTCCTTCTATTAAAACCGTCCGAAAATACGCCCTCTTCCGATATATGTTTTTTTTTTCATCGACATTATTATTCCAAGTACATGTCACCACGCACCCCTTGCATCGCCATGGTGATGTCTGCGCCATGCATGGCGTTGGCTTGCATTGCCGCCATGTTCATGTTGGGCATGGCACGGTTCATGACCATGGCCGCTCTGCTTGCAGGGCTGCCAGCTCCATTTTGCATCATGTAACGCATATCTGCTGTGTTACGTTGCTGCGCCTGTTGCTGTTGAGCCTGCTGTTGTTGCACTTGTTGCTGCACTTGTTGTTGGACCTGCTGCTGGACCTGTTGTTGGACTTGCTGAACAACTTGCTGCTGGACCTGTTGCACCTGCTGGACCTGCTGCTGCTGTTGTTGCTGCTGCTGAGCCATGGGTCCACGAGTCCGAGAAACATCAAGCTGCGCTTGCTGTTGTATAGGTGGGTGCGATGGTTTGATAGGTGATTGGCTCATCATAACAAAGCTATCGTCATCTTCCATCTCGGCATCAGCATCTTGATCGCTGGTCTCTTCGATCGACGGCGGCCCTGTGTTGGTCGTAGACGAAGCGCTTTGCTCACTGGCTGGACCATTCGTGCTTGCGGTGGAGAGCCTTTTGTCGAGCTGCTGCTGCTGCGGCGGCGGCGGCGGCGGCGGTTGCGTCAACTGTGGTGTTTGCACGGCGCTTGGGGGTTCTGACGGACTGTTTTGGTTTCCCGCAGCAGGAGTCTGGGCCGCTGTCTGGTCCAGAGGGCGCTGTGCAGTCATGCCTGTAGCAGTAACACGACTCGACACAATCATATTCTTCCATCGGTCTATTGATTTTGCTACAAGGGTATTCAGGTCCAGATGCCGATCCTCGAGTTCGAAACCAACAAGCTTGGTCCCCGTGACGGCCTGCTCATAGGCGTACGCAAGAACGTCTCGTTCTAGAGGAATGGTGGAGGGCGAGAGCACCTTGAACTCTCTCGGTTGCTGCAGTCGATTGAGCTGGTCGATGTGTGATTTGAGGTTGGCGTTTTCCTGCTTGAGCTTATGATGCTGCTCTTTCATCTTCTCCATTTCCTTATGCTTGCGACCCACTCCCCGTGCCAGCTCAAGAAGCCAAAGTTCACTTTTCCGCTGGCTGGGCAAACTCTCCCAAACCGCATACGCAGATTTCAGGTGTTCGTTGACATGCAGCTCAAGGTTTTCAGCGGCTCTCTCAGCCTTCTTTACGGCCTCTCTCACATCTCTATACGGGCCCCCCGTTGGGGGATACGCCATCTCCTCCATCACGGTGGTCGTGGCCGAAGCGCATGTGATTTTCCATGCCTTGAATTCCTCCAGGAAGTAGGCCTGAAGCGCCTCATACTCGCGCTGGGACGGCCACTGTATAGCCCAGGATGTCGAGGTAGCGTGCTGAGTCGAAGAGAACAAGGTTGGCGGTGGCTGAAGACACTGCAAAGTAAGAGCTGGAAAATCCAGAGCAAGAGGATCGAAGTCGAAAGGCGTCGAATTCCCATCAACCTGCTGTCTAGTTTGGTGTTAGTCGATACCGGCCCCTATGGCGAACACCGGTTCTTGACGAAGCCCTGAAGAGACAAGATAACTTACTTTGCCGCCCGCCATGAGCTTATCAGCTCTCTGAGAGCCAGCTCTGCCGCTCTAGCAGTATCCATAGAGTCTGCCAGCTTTTGTTTGATATCGAACTGAGCTTTTTGGGCCATCTGTTTGCTAGCGTTCCTTGATACCCCAGGACGCTTGTTGGTATCTTGAGGGGCATTGCCATCCCAGGCATTCTTGCCCGGAATATCATTTATAACGCCAGTGGCCTCCCATGGAGTAGTATAAGAGTACTTGACGGGTCCAATATTGTATAGGCCCTCTTTGGGTATGGCAGAAGGTTTGAAGCTATCTGACTCTTGCCCAGGCGATACTTTCCTGGCCGTTGGTTTCGGGGTACCGGCGGGGGTGGAATTATCTCTTCGAGCACCAAGAGAGCCTCGAGGCTGACGTCGAGTGATGTTGCCACGGAGCTTCCGGATAGCATCAACGTCGTGGATACCATCCGGGGGCTTGGGGTTCTTGTCCTTGATATAGAGATCAAGATGTCGGCCGAGGGAAGACGAGGTGAAGGCTTGGCCACAGTACTCGCAGTTTTTGTCCTTTACAGCCTTGGGCTGGTTGCCCTCGGCATTGGGCACCGGCGTTTCAGACATTGCTTGCAATTTCTAGAAGAGAGGGTGTTCCACGAGGGAAGGGACGGCGGTGAAAAGTAGGATATGTTGGTTTTCTTTCTTTCGTCGGCAGAAGCGATCGATCGGCCGGCTGGAGGAGGGGGGAATATCGTTCTGGTTCTGGCGCTACGAAACAGGCAGAGAGAAGGTGATTTGATGGAAGACGACTAAAGCCAACAGCTCCTTTCGTGGAGCAGGACCTGTGAAGATCATAAGGAGCGTATAAAGGACCAGGGGCGGATTTGGAAAACGAGCGTGGGTAGCAAATGCCCTCAAGGGGGAGGCGGTTCACAGACGTCAAGGCTGCTTATTCAACTCAGAGCAGCGTGGAAGCGGACAGGGAAAAGCCAATGCAGAAGCAGAACAAGAAGCAGAACAAGACCTCTCGACGACGGACAGCCCAGAAACAGCTCACTCAATTCCCCTCGTGACAAAGCTCAAAGTCAGGAGAAGCCGTGGGAAACCTTTAATTATTTTTTTTAGGTGGTGAGCCGGCTCAGGGGTGGGACCTCGAACGGGACGCTTCCATGGGAGAGAAGTGGAAAAGGAACATCGACCCCCCCCCCCCTCCAGGGCTCCCCACCGCACCGGGCCCAGGCGCTACAGGCGGCTCATAGCGGGCAGCTCAGGCGCTGGCACTCGCTGTACAGTAGCAGCCCACCGCTAGGCGCCAGTGTGGCCGCTTTCCCCCCTGTCTGGCGCAGCGCCAGAACCCGGCCCCCCAGATTAGTGCTCCAGCTGTCAGCGTCGCCGAGAGACCGTCCACTGGTGGTGCGGATAGCGGGAGACAGGCGTGCCGATCGTGACCGCGGTTTGCTGGCGGTGGCCAGGGCTGCCAGTGAGTTGTTCAGTTGTTCGGTCAGGCCAGGCCAGCCGCCGAAGCCGGGTTTGAGTTGTGAGGAAGCTGAGTCGGGCATCTACGAGGTCGGACTCCCCAGGCTGAGAGAGACATCCAGCCCAGGCACGTGTCAGTACAGGTACCTACATGTATGAGAGCCTGGGGGGACCAATTGAGGGTGCCGCACTTGGCAGAGCAAAGATTGAGGTCGGGTGCATGTACCTCCTACTGGCTACTGGCGATATGACCTGTACTCATCCTCCGTGCCTCCTCATCCTCGAGTCAACCACCAGCAAGCAATCGGCTAGCAAGTACCTACAGATGAGCGCCATGAAGGTACGGGGTACAGCACGGAGCACAAGTACGGGTACATGTCACCTCACTATTACCTGTAGTCGATGTTTTAGAGGCTCCTACGCCAGCAGTAGCGTCGGTAGGATGCAGGAGCAACGGAGTATTGGCCGTCTGCGACCTGCAACCTGCGCTGTGCTCCGTCCGGATACATGTACATGTAGGTACTCGTAATGGGGCGCCGCTGGAGGAAGGAGGCTCGCAGGAGATTGTCATGGTGCCTGCCCACTCTTGCCCAGGAATCATTCCGGCCCTGCTGTTCTGTTCGTGTACGGAGTAACTTACATCATGGGTCGATGGAGACTCATGTGATGGAGCTTCATCAGCGTTTGCTTCTGCGTCTGTCCTCTTAGGTTCAAGCCATTGGATTGATTGACCTTGTTACTACCTTACAGCCCACGGGTATGCACTGCCCAGATGCCTTGGCAACATGAATGGAGCTTGATCAGCCAGCAGCTATCAGCAGCAATCAGCAGCTGAGGACTGGACCTGCTGTACATACTCGGTGCTCCGAACTCCATACCTACAGTACGAATACCACCTTACTCGTGCCTCTTACATGTACAGGTACCGTACAGAACAGGAGCACAGGAGCACAGAAACAACACGACAAGACATCGGGCAGCCGGCCGCAAGAGACTAGACGATGCCCAGACGGACTCGATCAAGACTCGCCAGCAAGGGTGGCAGCGATCGGAGCCATCTCAGGAGTAACGTGGACGGATCCTACAAGCAGAGGCCGAGTACTCGTACCTGCCATTCAGAGGCCGTGTCCCATCTGGCCCAGAGCCAAGGGCATGGCCAGCCAGCTGTTTCTCGTGGCGTTCTTGAATCCAATCGCTTCATTCTTGCAGCCAAACTGCACGCGATCCCACCTCTCCTGCGCCCGTGCCAGCCACCCTACTTCGCACCGGCCGAATTGCAAAAGATCCAGACCGGCTGAGCGCCGCCAATGAACGGAGTGGGCATCAGAGAAGGCTCGGATGCCTAGCGTGCTCTGCTGTTGCAGCAGGGTGCTTCGTGATTCAGGCAAGGTGAGAGAAAGTGTGAATGCCATCATGGCTTGTTGGCTATTTTGTTACTTCAGGCTATGTATTGCTTACAGCCTCATATCTTGAATGGCAAGTATCAGTGTCTCATTCAATGCCCAAGAATACCCTCCCACCGATGGCGCAATGGGCTCGTAGCATTCAAAACTCGAGTGCTCTTCGTCCTCCAAACACAGGCCAGATTAAAAAGATCCGAGGCTTCAGGGGGGTCACTTCGGGAGATCACCCAGGCCGTCCAGGGGGTGGACGCTATGGTCAAAGTTTGACGCCAAAGCGAAGCCATTCTCCTTGGTTAAGCTAAAGTCAGACGCTTACTCCGTTGATACAAGTTTATGACAGAGAATGAGACGAGTGTCCAGAAGAGCCAGAGTGTCTGGCTGATGGCCAAGGAGCACACACACCTGTCATGTCATCGAAGCATTGCCCCTTGTCTGTCCCGGGAGCTGTCATATCACTTCCGCGCCGCCGTTGTTCGACCGTTCGTCAACGGCCTAACTGCGTGTCTGGCCTGGTCTTGACTGCATGGGCATACGACAACGGGTCCCTTGTCGCAGACCCAACCTTTTTTCGGTCATCTCTCGTCCAACTAGCATTTTACGACCTTGTGCCGTGTAGAGAAGTGCAGGTCTGATATAATCACAGCGTCCTATGACAGAACGCTTCGTGGTTCTCTGTGGACTTATCATTCTGGCAGGATCATGACCATGCTGAGCCAGAACAGGCCAGGGTTGGGCGCATCACATAACCACTGCCCTTCTCTTGTCTCGTGGGAAAGAGCTTGACGTGAGAGCCGACCAAGCCCCTTGGTGCGATTAGCGCAGTGATGGTGGAGACTTCATCAACATGGGTTCTCACGGCCAGCACAACAACTCCGTACGAGTAGTATTACAGTACATACGCTCGTATGCAGCAGTCCCAAGACGGCACCTTGGCATACTCGTAGCCGAGGGAAGTGTGCCTGCACGGACTCCCTGACTACTGCAGAAGAATTTGCAGCCCCAAGACTGAGAAATTCCACCTAGCAGTCTTTCTGCCTTCTTCTTGGCCATATGGAGCACGCTGTACTCCGTACGACGACTACAACGACTCCTGCTTTTGCCATGCTTTGGTACGAGGTGGGGAGAAGGGTTAAAAAAAAAACGTTCCTCCCTGGACCGCAGATAAGACCTCGCCGGGAAAGCTGCCGTGGACCGGCGTTGAAACATTGTCTCGAAAAGCTTGGCTATGCTTAGCCGTTTCTTAATTCCTAGATTACTGCGGCTGATTTCAGCCGGGCAATAGAGTCGCCTATGGGGAGTGCCATGAGAGCCTATTGGGTGCGTAATCGCCGAAGCCATGAGTTTTGTCTTGGATATGCTTGCGAGACGGCCACTCTCCAACAGCAATAACCTCGTCTACTATGCAGCACTTTCGTTCACTGCCACGCCGTTGAGTACTCCTTACATGGACGGATATTGCTGTCTTGGTGTCGCGCTGCATACTAAGACGGTAGACGATGGCGTTGCTGACTAGCACCTTGGAGCTAATGGCCAAGGGGTGTGCTTTAGTTTTGGTGTGGTACGACTGAAAATCGTCCATTTCAGCACCCTATCTCTTGTAGAGATCGCATCTCGATACGCCCATAGCTGGGTCGATCTATTTCCGTCCTCCCGCAAGGAGTAGCTCGAGGCGGAATACAGTCTGGCACACGAGACATTAGGGCTGCCGGCTAGGTAGGCAGGCAAATTACATACGTCTAATTAAGTACCCTCCATGGCCGGCGCTGCAATGGATACCACCTCTGACGAAGCCGTGCTGTCGCTACGAAGCAGCAGAGTCGTATTACACACTAAGCTTTCCGGCAAAGATCCATGGAAGTCTCTACGATCTTACCCCTGGCTAGGTCCCTTGTTGCCGGTCGCGAGTGTGGTTGCGTGCATTCTAGCGGGCAAACAGGAATGCCAACCGGCCTTCTCGAATCGGCAACGTTTCGCATCTTGCCGCGCTGGTCTTTTTTTCGACCTGGTGGGCTCGGATCCCCGGACCGTGGCACTTTTGGCGCTCCAAACACGAGGCCGATTGCTCCCTTTGAGTTACGCCGGCCGGTCTGCTTGATGACCCCGTTACACAAAGGACCGTTAGCCTTGCTTAGGTCATGTTAGACCCTCATTTTAGCTAAGAAATTTTGCTTAGCCGCGTGCAAAGAGCCTCTTCAGGTGATCTACCAGGTACTACTGCTGCATACCTGGGTTGCTGGCGGCAGCATGTGATTCCGACGAGGGCCGTTTGATATTGCAGTAATTTATACCTACATGATGCTAGCGAGTTGGACAGGGCTTGATGGTCATGCTAACATTAATTACTTAGCGCTAGGTAAGTAAAAAGCAGCTGTCCCTCCAAGAGTCCGTCAAGAGAGCTCAATGAGCCGGCCAAAGGAGCAAAGGAAGGGCGCACACCTGCGGGACATAATAGCATTATGCGTGGATTAATGAATACGACGCCCTACCAACAGCCTTCCATCGCAGGGACCGGCGCAAACTCGACTGCGCCAACCACCATCCGGCTATTCATGCAGGCCAAGTTGAATGCAGCCATTGATGTGGTGTGGACGTCGGCCGACTCACAATTGCTGTTTTCCCGACGGCAGTTCTCGTTGACTCTGGACTCGGCGTAACTGCGACTGGCCTACATGGCCGGCTCGTTTCAGGATATGCGGCATATCGCAGTTCGGCGTGTTGCTGATCCCGATTCCTTCTGACGGCGTCAAAGGACAGATGAGCAGCAAGTGGCCACAGCGTCAGAATTTGTAATTTGACGGCAAACAATGGAGGATCATGCATGCAAACATGTGTGCCAAGTACGGGAGCAAGACAACTCTAAATAGCAATCGTTTCCTGAGGCACGCTTTGTTGCTCATGTGAGCTGCGAGTATGCAGACAAGCGGGTGAGAGAAAAAGCGAGACCGCAAATGAATAAGTGCATACATTTAGTAATATAAGCACCTTATTAACTCATCGAGTACTGCTTTTATTTAGAGAACGCCTATTCAGCCAGCACTCGATGTTTCTTACCTATACGAATATAATAGCAGTTACCAGCTAGATAAATATAAATCTAGTAGCAGTTGGTAGTTAAATATAGATATAGTAGCAGTTACTAGAGAAATATAAATATAGTAGCGGTTAGTAGAGAAATATGTATATTAGTGGCTATCTGCGAAATGTAAATATAGCAGTTACTCCCTTTATAGGCGTATAATTTAACTCGTTGGTGTTCAAAATCTTCTTAGTCTCGGTTTTTCTGTCCTCCGCTTGGCAGTCAGCGACAGCCGAGCGTGCCGGATATCGGGAAGCGCCGTTTGTGCTGGACGGGTGGCTCGACAGAAAATTCATTTACAGTTATCAAATGACTTTGATGGCCCGAGCAAAGATTACGGGCCACTGTATGAATATGAGCAAAAGTTTGTATAGAACCACCGGGTCCGGTTGTTGTTTTCCTCTTTCGTCAAGGCGTCATCCAACATGTTTGTTAGCACAGACGTGGAGCAAGAATACAAAGAATGCTTCATTTATCAAAGGTAAGTAGAAGCGGTGGAAACCTCGTGGATAAACGGTCAACAAGATTCAAATGCATTATAAAGCTCATCAAGCTTTGCCATGAATGATGAGATGGCCTTTGAGGTGTTGCAGCTCTAACTACACAGGAATATCACGACTCGCGGCGTTGAAAGTGGAGAGCTTACAGCTGTTGAGATCGATAACGATAAGAACCAAGAAAAAAAAAAGCTGCTCACGTGACCGAGCGTCACTCGGCAACACCAAAGCTTGAGGCCCGCGCCCATCGCGTTTGCTTACTGGACAGCGTCAAGCGCTTGCGACCAGGTTGCGCCGTCTGGGACTGCGAATCAATTCTCTAACTGCCAGGCGAATTAGTGAATTGCAACAATGCCTCCAGGTACGTGCACCAACTGGCTGCCACTTGGCTCCTCCCCTCCCCCAGCGGACGAATCGCGCCTGTGCAAAGTGCATAGACGATTGCCCCCAAGTAGCCGGAGACAGCTCCAGCTCAGTACTTGCACCTGAATGCTCTTCTGCCTTTACAATCACACCGCTCCATCGCAGTGTATTGTCGCGTCATGGCTCCCAGAGGAAACAAAAGAAGATCATCCGCTAAGAGCAAAGCAGCACTCAGCGACGAGGAAGTCTCGGATTACGAGAGCGCGCCACCCGTCAAGTCGTCACGAAACTCCGCGTCAAGCGAGGCAGACGAAGCGGCCGGAAGGCCCAAACGAAACGGCAGAGTCTCAAAAAAGGTGGAAAGGGAGGTGGACGAGGACGATGATATCGAAATCGAGGATGCGGATGTGAACGAGGATGAAGATGAGGATGAGGAGGGGGATGACCTCGAGGAAGATGTGTATGAAACCACCGGGTGTTGCACGGCATATGGCATTGAGACCTAACAACTGCTTCTAGGTTCATTGTCGAAGCGATCAAGAAGCACATGATTGATGAAGATGTGCGTGGGATGCACTTCCATCGCGTTTGTTTGTTTGTTTGAGTACACCGCGGCTAACATCGTGTAGGGAACATTGAAATTCCACGTCAAGTGGGAGGGCTACGAGAAGAAGTCAGATATGACTTGGGAGCCTGAAGAGAATCTACTGTATGTTGCGGATCACGGAGCGTGGGGGCAAACGACACGCGATTACTAGATAAAGTAACTGACTTTGGTGTGATTCAGGGAGTCTGCGGGCGAGGTTCTCAGTGCCTATCTCGAATCAATTGGTGGACGAGAGAAGATTTTCGAGGAGACGCAAGAAGCTGCCCGAGGCAAGAAGCGCAACAGGACGAACAGCACAACGCCAGCCGCCACGACGAAGCGTTCCAAGAGAAACGGAACACATCCTGGCGACTCAGCACCGCCAGCTACGGCGGAGAAATGGAGCCCTCCGGCCGGGTCGTGGGAGGACGAAATCGACACGATTGATGCTTGCGAGGATGAAGGTAGTGGCCGGCTCGTTGTTTACCTTGTGTGGAAGAATGGCCGTAAGACGAAGCATGACACGAAGGTCATTTACAAGAAGTGCCCCCAAAAGGTAAGCCGCCGCCTGCTTGATCGTGGACTTGCTGCAAAACTGACACTGGTATAGATGCTACTATTTTACGAACGACATGTACGAATCATCCGGGAGGAGAACAAGGCCCTGACCGAGTAAAGACGGACTACGGCATCAGGGTGAATGGAGACGTATTCCTTACACTCAGCAGAGATGCATGGCTGCTGGAACGGACGCGGCGCGAATGAGCGGATATGTGACTTTTGCGACTGAGATTCGTGGCCATGGCCTGAAGACTAGCTGGCGTATACGGACCGCATTGATCTTTTTGGGTTTTAGTGATTTTCCTCCCTTGGTTTGCGGGCTGCGGTTTCTCGAAGCATCCAGGTTTATTACTTTTATGTGTTACTCGGCTAGCTTCTATCTATCTGAAGGGAGGAGGACAGGGGGGGGCGTAATGTGTATCAACAGCTACGGGATATCTTTGCGAAGTAGCCTCTTATAGTTTCATATTGAAATGATGAACGATGTTATTGCCATCGACTCTCTACTCTCAAGTTGTAGAGCCTCAATGGAGTACCTGATAGAGTCAGTCAGCGTGTGTGTGTGTGTTGTGCCGTATTCCGCATCGCGTTTCAAGATGTCGCCAATGACACGCCACCAGCGCAGCTCTTTTTGATAAATGGCGAGGGCCGCAGCAGCGTTTGCGCGTAAGCCCACATCAGCCCGCGTTAGCCCAGGTACACACACAAAAAGGCGCTGGAGCTAAGCTTGCGTCTCCTCCCATCCCCAGCCTTGCGAATTTTCGAAAGAAACGCCAGAAGTAGCTAAGAAGAGAAAGGACAGACGGCAGAGGGACGCAAAAAGCGGGTGGCGGGGCAACGGCGTATATAGCTGGGGGGGGGTTGGTGGCACTCTTTTCTTCTCTCTCTTTTCGCGCTGTTATTGGGAATCGTTGGTTTTGTTGTTTTAAACGTCCTTTTTACCTTGAGGTACCTTGGACGAAAGACGACGAGTGCTTGAATTAATATCTAATTGATTTGATTCCCACTGGCTTTATCGAATCGATTTGAAGCGAGGTTTGCGCGGGCTTTCCCACGCCTTTTTTTTTTTGGGTTCTTGGGTTATTTTGCGGTGACGAGGGTTTGTTTACTTTGGTGAGTCTGGCCCGTCGCTTTTTGTTCTTTTGCGCTCCTTTTTCTCCCTTGCATAGCTTTGGCTACGAATTTGAATCTAGATGAGTGGAAGACTAATTGTTTTTCTCAGTCTTTTTGGGAAGCTCATAAATCTCGAGCCAGACGAAACAGAGCGAGACAGAAAACCACACCGTCAGAATCTCACCGACATTGTCACCAAACGGGGGTAAAACGAGAAACACACCCGACAACAAACACACAAACAGACACACCCAACAAATAAACAAATAAACAAAACACCAAAAAACCGCCGCAATGACGCAGCGCAACTATGTCATCGCCATCATCATCATCGTCCTCTTCGTCGTCCTAGCCGCCATCTCCTTCGGCATCTACAAGCTGGTCCACGGCGCGCGCCGCGAGCTCACCATCACGACGGAGTCGAGTAGCAGCAACTCGCACAGCCTGGCAGACTAACACTGAGCCAAGAGTCCTCCCGATGAAATAAAACGGGGTTAATCGAGGTAGGATTCTTGCGCTCAAAAACTGCCAACCTTTTTTATATTTTCCTCCCCCCTTCTACATTTTTGGAATATATGTGGCGCAGCGGAATTGCATGATTTGTTCTTTGGGTTATGAGCATGGTTTGTTTATGAAAGGATTTTGAAGCATCTCTGCATTGGTTCTTGATACCTTTGAAGATGAAGATGAGGATGAGGGGGAGATCTGATTATGGAATATATGGCCCTTGGGGCTCTTTTGGATATGTTTTGTACATGACTTTGGTGGGATGGTATGAATTGGCATGTGTGTAATGAGGATATGAGGGTGGAATAATGAGAGCAATGAAGGCGTGTGTATATCGCAGCATGCATGTTATGAGATGACTTTTGTCTAAACAGTGAAATGGATATATAATTGGACACGTTGTTGCGCCTGACTTGCATCTTTTACGAGAACCAAATCGCGACATAAATCATATCCCCATGCGTGATGCTCGAATCTTTCTTCTCAGCAGAAACACCACATACAGATATATCCTGTATATAAAAGTGTGTGAATATCGCGCGTGCGTCTATGCTGTTTCCAATACACTCAAACTCATCACAAGTATATGTGCCTCACTCGTGGTGCCTTTTCTACGTGAATCAGACACTTCTCAGAGCTCTCTTTTCTCCTCTGATTAACACAGAACCTCTCGACTGACAAGGCACGACTCCCTCAAACACTCTGAATCACTGAACCGTAATTGACCATAAAAATGCTTCCTCCAACACCACATTCCCTTCTCCCCCCTCCTCCATCAGCTTCATCCGCCTCGACACTCGCCAACATCTGCTCCCTTAAACACCACTCACTTACACCTCTACACAATGGCGGATGCAAGCTCGACTTCAAACACTCGCGACCTCGCGCAGCAACACTTCACCAACTCTACGCCTCCATCTACATCCTCGAGCGGCGCTTCTTCTGCGTTTGAAGATAGTCCCAACAAAGTTCCTCAGGAGTATCTCATGGCCTCACCATCTTCTCTCCTGGTTCAAGGCTTCCCCTTTCCACCTCAACAGCCGACTTCTGATATCCCACTCAACCTCCAGCCTGGCTTTATACGTCCCGAGGAGCCTTATATGAACCGATTCAAAAGCAACTATGAGAACCAGCCCCCTAACCTTAACAACGGCGCACAGCCATCATCATCCAAGATCCCAGAGTTCGACCAACACTCCTCTGCCGCCCGCCTTGTCAACGAACAACGTCTATCAACATGCCTCAACATCCTCCGTCACATCCAACGCACCCTCCGTCAACGCCATGATGAGGCAACCCTGCGTCTCGCACACATTTCGCGCCTCGAAGTGCAGACCACATGGGAGCTCTTCTTCCAGAGCCCCCTAGATTTCATGTGTCACGAGATGGACATTCTCTCTGACGCTACTGCGAGCGCCATTCTCTCTCACGGAGGAATTTCTCTGCAGCGACACTCTGCTCACGAGAGTGAGGCTTGGATGCGGAAGCTAGATGAGCTACGGGATTTGCAGGACGATGAACACGATGCCAAGGAGAGGGTACGCAAGACGATGAAGCAGATGCAGTGCGCGGATGCGATTATGAGAGTGGGATTGGAGAAGCAGGCGGCGGCACTGGAGAGAGGCGATCTTATGGGTGGTCAATATCGCGGAGGGTTTGACTATGATTATAATGTCGAGGCAATGGCATCTTCAAACAACAACGCTTCTGCCATGTTGAGTGGCTTTTTCAATTGGCCTTTGCCTGCCACGTCGTTGAAGGTTGGTGAAGCCAGCAACGATGTCATTGGCGACAATAGCAGTGGTTCTGTCAGCGGATCCTCAGGACAATGCCACTCCGAGTGTTGTCGAGATCATTCTCTGTAAATGTGGTGGTCAAGACACTTCTATAGTTTTGCTTTAGCATTATTTGGTGCTTGCTGGGACATTGAGGCCTTTGTTGGCCGGGATTTGATAGAAACAGCGCTTAGATAGAGCACACGGCGATGCCCGTACAACTTCTCTTATATGAAATGCTTCGTTCTTAATCGTATTACTTATATATCAATAATTCATTCCACTCATGCTCTCATAAATGTTACTCTCGTCATCACCATAACCACCAATACGCCAACTCATTCATGTTAGCAGCATTCAGCTACACGGTATACAGCTCATCGCCAGGCAGCATAATGACCTTTACCAGCAACAAAGCGTCGTGCGACGAACACTTAATCTTGCTACTCTCTCCTTCGTTCCAGTCAAATTCGTATTTGTATTCGTCCACCTGCATCCACGGCTCAAGTTCCACGATGCGACACCACGGTTTTCGTTCCCAATCTCCTCCCCGTTCATCATGGATTATGTCCATCCCCAGGACAAGGGCATGCAATAAACACCACCCTTTAAACGACTTTTCTTTGAAAATGACACGCACGGCGCCTTCTGTGACACGAGCGACGTGGACATGCCTCTCGGGGTCGTTGTAATACACGACATTTGGCTGGGAGGTCATAGAAGTATTTTGCTGAGGGCCGTTTCGGTGGTGGTAAGCTCGCTGCAACACACGATCGTTGCCGTGCCATCGATCAGCCGGATAGCCCTCCCGGGTTCCAATCTTGTAGCTTAGATATTGAAGGCGAAAACCAAACGGTATGAATTCCCGAGGGTTGTGAGAGACTGTGATCTGTTTGTACTCCCACGGCGCACGATTTAAAAGCAAGTCCATGGACATGGTGCCAAAATCTACATGCCACATTCGACTCTATATCAGCATGTCTACGTAGCTTTCACAAGAGAAAACAAGATCAGAGCCTGAACTTACAGAGAGGCACCTCGTACAAGAGAGATGTAATTTTAGATAGCGAATTCACTCGCAAGGGAGGAGAAATGGATGGTGCTTGTTCCCTGAAGAGATTCCAAGGCCGGATTCTCGCAAACTGGGACTGTTCCTCGTCCAGACACCACAGCTCAATGCAAGGCGAAGAGTCTCCGGAGAAGCCATATCTGCAGCCAAGAACAGCACGACGATAGTTTGACAGGGGACCAGATGGCAGTTTACCAAAGCCAGCATAGTGGACGCCCTGAATCACCTTGTTCTGGATCATCAGTGTAGTCTGTAGGGTGTTATTAATGATACGTGTTGCCTGCGTAGAAGAGCGGCTCGATGCGAACGGGGAGACGTTTCCACCAGTGTCTTCAAAGGCACTCGGTGAGTCGGCCAGGAGCCCGTAAAAGTCTGGCCCAGGGGAGCCTAGCTTCCGTAGCTGCCATGCAAAAATGGACTGGTCGTCAACAGTCTTGATGATTTCCTCCTGGAGTCGAAGAAACGCCTTTTTACCTTCGCCGTAAATGAGAGGCATGGAGACGGAGAATAAACCCATCAGACAGTAGGCCATGTCTTCGACCCTGGTCGTCGTTCTGCGGGAAGCCCAGTACATTTTGCGTGCCACGGCGATGAGGGATGGATCGGCCCCGGCGAGGATGCTCACATCGATGCCCGTGATTCTGGATATCACGTCTTTATGAAAGGATTTCCTTCCGAGATAGTGCCAATCTCCAGAATAAAAGGCGACGTCGGATGGGGCAATGAGCTCCTGGAGCGTCCATCCCCTGGTAAACCAACGAGATGCCCCGAATTCAACTTCATCAAAGTTCCTGTTCCCCGTCTCCAAAGCTGGATGCTCGATATATCGAACGTCGATTAGGTACGCATAGCATATCGAAGATTGCCGGTACCACGCATACATGGAATTGATGGCCTCGGACAGCTCAGCGCTGCTCGTCTTGTCGATGCAGCAGGTGTCGATCCATATGTAGTCGAATCCCTCAGCATATGCAAGCGCACACGCGCCCTCAACTTTGGCAAACCCCTGAGGCTTCCTCTCCCGCGCCTGCTCTACCGACTGGACGATATCTTGATATGTCACCTCTCCCGACCCCCAGGTGTGAGAGAGAATGGCATATCTGGGGATGTTGGCTTCGAAGAATTCGGTGATGCTATAAGTTTTGGTGTTGAGCAGCCGCATTTTTTTCCTTCTCTCTCTTCCTCTTCCTTCACCGATGGCGACGGATATCCTTCGTGGTTGTAAGTGCAGTTCAAACTTGGGCATGGCCGGGCAGTTTATTTTAGGCTTATACCATTACGATCCTTGTCCAGCAGCAAACGTCCTGCGTGGGGCTTCAGCTGCCTGCATGCCTCGCGAATGAGCCGAAAATGGACAGAAATGACCAGTGAGCATAAAATCATGAACACTCGAATTTAGATCAGCCACGATCTCAACACTGAATAATTCTGCACCGGAGCGGCCAGGCGACCCGGTACGTGATTGCATAAACAAGTAAACGTCACTGCGCATTCTCGCTGCCGATATTCCAAATGGTGTGGGCTGGGTCCGGCGCAGGCTGCGATTGCTGCGATTGCTGGTTCTCCAGTCAAGAGCCCTGCTCAAAAGGGGTTTACCCAAAGGTTGGATAAACAATGACTAGAAATTTCGTCTTTGGTTGTTGGATGGTTATACATCAGGGTGGACTTACAACTTCAGACACATACGGACGTTAAAATGAGACCGTATAGTAGTAGCAGGAACTAGGCATTGACGCGATATTAGAAAGCAAGCAGAGAATTGCAACCTTGACAGATCGTTGAAAGATCATTCAGCAGGCCTGTTTTCCCAGTTTTTCACATATCCCGACTGGCAACTCAACCAGATTTAATTTAAACTCCATCTACCTCCCTTTACAATAATCTACTAGATCTAGCTATGTCTCCTATATCTATACAGATCTATCCGTGTCTACTAGATCTCCTATTTATGCTCAAATTGACAGTCTCTCAACTGTGAGGACACCGATTCATCGCATTCTCCCATCCATTTCCTAAGATACCGATTATCCTCATCCCTAGGGTCGGTATACTTTTTATCTAACCGGTCTATGCTACCTACAGCGCCAGACTGCGCTACAAGGTGAATCATCGCCCATCTTCATGAATAAGAAGCTGATGGTAAGTGTGTATTTTGGCCTATAAGCCAAAGGCTTCAGGTTTGTCTCGTCTTCTTCAGTTGCCATCTTACTGGGTAGGAACTCGTGTAAAGTGGATGAGCAGCCGCCCATGGTGGTAAGACTTGTGACTCTCCCGGAAGGAGAATGCGAATGTTTGGAACAGGAGAGGAGAGAGAATAACCAGTGCGGGAAAGGTATCCAAATCTTGCGCTGCTACACGTTGTTAAAGCTGAATTTACCACATTTAAATCTTATTTCATTACATGTACTTGAGTGCATCATGTTCCTATCTGTGCTAGAGTAGTTCTATTATCTAAATATAGTTTTCTTTTTACTAGGTCTTGATTGCTGTACTAGATTTGGCTATACATACCAAGCCAAATAGCAAACATGGCCATATATGTATTAATGAAGCAGGCAACTCTAAGAGATATACCCAGGCCAAGTACATAGATGTCTGACACAAAAGTTCTAACAGACTCGCTACAATCCGTCTAACCTTGGTCATATTGCCATCATGAAGCCTTTCACTCCTTTCGCAACCCTTTACAAACCAAACTCACACTCGACATGCTCAAACATACAGAAGTCCGCCTTCAAACAAACAGGTAGTATATCATTCCGCCAGATAATACCGACGGACTTCTCTTTTTATAAACGTCCAACTGAATTATATATGTGTATATGCTCATAACCAAACCCAAATAAAACCCCACATAACCCCCAAACCCATACCCATCCTCACCAACTCATCAACCCCCTCCCTCTATCAAACCCTCCCCTCAACTGCCTCTCCGGCTTCACAACCTTCCCCTTCAGCACCGTATACCGCACCAAATTCTCGCAATCCTCCGGCCGCACCCTCGCCAGCCAAATACACTGCGCAGCACCCACATCACTCTTCTCCTGTTCCTCCTCCCCATTCTTCTCCTTCGCCTCAGCCGCCTCCTCCACGCCCTCCGGCAACGGCTCGTCATCCTTCCCAAACGCATTCGGCCGTCGATACACCATCACGTTCGCAGAGTACTTGTGCCCACCAACATGGCTAATAAAGTAAATCCCCACTCCACCAGGCCTCTCATCATGCAAATCCCGATACAAGCCCAACGGCCGCAAATGCCTCTCCAGCTCCTTTCGCAACAACGGCGCGCTCTGGCCGCAGCGCGCGTCGCGCGTCTTCTGGCTGCACATGAGCACGACGGCGCTGTGCGGACACGCGTTGATAGTGAGGTCGGCCAGCGAGGCGTCTGGGCTGGGGAGGGAGGTAGGGATGACGGAGCGCCAGGGGGTTAGGGGGGAGGAGTTTGTGGGAGCGACGTTGACGACGTCTGAGATGAGCTGGGGGACGTTGCGGGGGTGGACGTTGTGGACGATGGCGAAGGCTGGGAGGAGGAGAACGGTGGTGGGCTCTGAGTAGTCGGTGGTGTCGTGAGGCGTGGGGAGGTTGGAGGCGGACAGCATGAGTCTCTGATGGTAGATGTCAGTAACGTTTGTCCTCACTTTCACTTCCCCCTTTTTCTTATCACTCATTCTTATCATCTCATCTCACTTCACTTCACCTCATCTCAACTCATCCACCCTCACAAACAACACAAAAAGAAAGCAAGAAAACTCACCCCATTCGTCACCCCGCCAACCTTCTGAATCGCCTCCATCACGCTCCCCCTCTCATCCGCAACATCCCGCACCCAATCCGTCTTCCCCGTCCCAACAAGCACATGCGTGCTCCACCCTTTAACCTGCCCATACAGCACGTCCTCCTCATCCACCTTGAACCCCCGCGGGTATTTCACCGCGCAGCTCTCACAATCATGTAGACACTCGTCCCCGTCCACCTCGGCCTCGGTCCGCGCAAACAGGGACTCGAGCCGCGCCGGTCCCCCGCTCGATGCCGGGCCCGATACGGCCGCTCCCACGCCGGCGGCCCCCGGCACCGCGCTCAGCACCGAGCTCACGAGCGACTTGAGCGACACGGCCATTTTCTGCTTCACGGGCATGCGAGGCGCGTTGCTGCCGCTGCCGATGGTGTTATTGTTCGTGGCTGCGGGAGGCGGCATGGTGGGAAAAGAAAAAGAGAAAAGAGAAAAGGAACTCCGAGATGGTCCAAGTGGATATATAGAACCCTATTTTTTTTTTCGCCCCCTAAATGCGTTTTTCTTGTTTTCCCTTCCAGATGATCAGTTTTTGCCGCTAAATCAAAAAGACTCAAACAATCAAGAAAAAGAGAAAAGAAGAAAAACTCCCGAATCGATTTATAAAATAAATACAAAAAGAAAAGGGTTGCCATCAGGGTTGTCCCGGCTCTTTAAACCTCCCTCGGATTTAAAATCAAAACCCTGCCTCATCATCCCACTCTCCCCCAACATCCTTATCAGATCCTCCGGCGTCTCGCCCTACAAATGAGGTAATCCAATCCAGCCACTCACAACACAAACTAAAAACGCCCATCCCTCAATCATTTGCCTTCCCCAGCATCCCGTCCGGCAGGCCAAGCCGATGCGCGCGTCCCGGGGAGTGGACACCGACGCGCCCCAAACGGGAAATTCCCGTCATCACATGGAATCTTTTCTCCCAGCTCTATGCAATTCGTGTACATAACAATTTTCTACTTGTCGTCGTCATCTCCTGTTCCGGGATTCACCAATAAGACGGTCAAATACTAACCTAGTAAAAAAAAGATCAATGACCATTATCGTTGACACGTAATACATTACATCCTTTCAGGGTTTCCCCACCGCCATCAAATCGCCGACATCTCCGAGCTTGCCAATTCACCGGCGGCTCGTCGGCCGAGTCCGTGTCCCATCCCAATGCAATGGCCTCATATGCAATCACAACTACACCATCCCAAACTAACCACTAACCTTGCCAGAATTGTAGAAAAGCGTAAGCAAAATCTCATCATGCGGACATGCGCAATACTACCAAACATTGATTTTTCCCCCTATCATGCTAGGGTATAACCCTTTTGCAATGACAATTCATCTCAGGCTGCTGGACATAAAGCCGATCTTCGGATTCCGTCAAGTGCCCTTACGCCAATCCCGAAGCCCACGATGAAGCGTCAAACTTCATACGTCGTCGTATGCAATCAGTCCATGAGGATTTATCCATTCCGCACTCGCTGCATGTCATATCAATGTCATACTTTTCCATGTGTACAATAACCGCATTCATAAAATTCCCTTGGTAAATTCAAGATGCCTACGGAGTATATGCGCAAAAACTCCAACACAAAACAACAAGTGGTGATGCAAAACAAAACAAGAAAGAAACATATTGTAACACGGCACTAGAACCAGACCCCGCACCCAATCCGTACTCATTAAGCGGGCCCTTCAAATATTCTTCTTCCTCGCCTCGTTGTAACCATCCTCATCGCTATCAGACTCGTCATCTTCATCTCCACCAGCCTCCATCTTGACCTTGTCAGACTTCTTCCGCCTGTCCTTCATCGCCTCTCGAATCTTACGGCTGGCCTCGCTGAAACCCTCAGCAGAGTCAAGAGTTGTAAACCCGCTGATGTGGAATCCGCTGGATCCAAAGCCACCGCCCGCGCTGTTGGAGCGACTCCTTGATCGTGACGGAGGCCGTGTAGAGAAGATGCCAACTCTGCCAATGTTGCTGAACGAGTCGTTTCGAGGGAGCAAGCGGCTGGACTGTGTCGTGCTGCGTCGTGACAATGGCGGCGGTGTCTCCATATCGGGGCCCGCGCTTGATGCCTCGCTGTCTCGCCGGGGACGGTGCTCTGTCGGGGACGTCTGAGTTCCTCCCGTCTCGAGCTTAGAAAAGTCGGGAACCAACCGCGTCTTCTCAAAGTCGGGGAACATCTCAGGCCCGAGAGTGTTGATTAAATCCGTCACCTGGGCGCTGAGCTCTGCTCGCTTCCGCTTCAGCTTGTGAATGTTGAAATCAGATGCAGGGACCAGACAAAGCACCAGCGGCCTCAGTGACTTGAAGATATCCATCCCGACCTCGCCGAACCGCAGCGCCGCAATGGTAATGGCCGTCCATGCCACCCACGTAGCCAGATACACCAGTACCAGCGGCACCCATTCCGGCAAATAGCCCCAGAGGTGGTCGTACCACGCCCTAGCGACCACAGCAATCGAGTAACCATGGTAAAGCGTCGGGGCCAGTCCGCAGGCAACGAGGATCTTCCACGTAGCCATGACGTCGCGCCCGCGGATCTTGACGGTTGAGCCCGCCAACGCCGCTTTAGCCTTATTCCTGCTGATGATCTTTGTAGCCACAAAGACTGGTGAGAACAGAAGCAGGCCCGGCACAGTGCAGAGGAAGAGGATCAGTAGCTTGATGGAGCGGTAGATGAAGAGCACAATGACCTTCCAGATGGACATAGTAGCGTACTGCACCTGGTGGTCCCTCAGGTTGAGATAGCGCAGCTGCGAGTTGTAGTCCTTGACGCTCTTGGACAGGCTGGTAATCCTCTCGTCGGTCTTGTAGCGCTCGTAGCCCAATGCCAAACGGCGGTTCAGCTCCACCACTACTGGCAAAGGTAGCTTCTTGCCGGTGGGGTTGTAGAGCCTTCGCGCAGCCTGGATCATCATCAGAGTATCGTAATCAGGGGCTGAGACGGTCACAGAGCTGAGGGCTTGGTAGACGGTGTCAATAAGCTGGCCGATTGCCTCTCTTCGCTGATTATTCTGGTACATTTCAACCAGATGCGGCGGGACCTCAAAGGGGGCTCCGAACTCAATGACAGCGCGCGAGCGGAACTTGTGAGGGTGGAAGTAGTTCATGCCCACGGGCACAATCTTGAGACCACAGTTGGGTGCATCGGCCAGCGCTCCCAAGGCCATGATGGCCACACCGGCTTTGAGAGGAAGCAGCTCGGAGCGATCGTGGCTACCACCTTCAGGAAAGATACCGACACACCCGCCATTCCTCAGTCGCGCAAAGACAGCCTCGTACACCTTGGTCTGGTCGGTATGCGGCGCAAGCTTGAACTTGGTCCCCTTGTATCCCGGCGCAGAGCCGCTGACTGACTTGTCAGTAAACCGGCCCTCCTTGTCGATATCATCTCGTCCGGTGAGCTGCTTCAAAGCCAGCGCAGTCTTAAACGGCCGTTTGATGCGAATCTCCTCGGGGCCGAGGATCTGGTCAATGTTGACACTCTCGCCAGACGTCTTCTTGCCCGGCGGCAGGAACAGCATGCCCTGTGGCTCTCCCTCGCCCACACCAAACTTTGTTCCCACACCTCGCACCAGCGTCGGGTCGTTGATCGGGTCCGGGAGGTAGATGAGGCCCGTCGCGGGCTTTGCGGCATCTTGCGCTCGCCCGACGGGGACGGAGCCGACCTGGCGGGATCCCCAGCCAATGAAGCCATGGACGGACTTTTGCGCAATCAAGAGGGAGATTCGTCGGTTGGCGTCCAGTCGCAGCGTCCGTTGCAGGAGGATGGCGTCGACAAACTGTCACAAAACATGTAAGCTTGATGTCTTTTCCTTTTGCCTTTTGACTCGGCGCAACAAGATATCATGTAGAAAATGATCCATACCTGGTTTGCATGTGGCGCGGCGACAAAAAGCACAGGCCCCGTCTGCGGAACCCTCCACGAGCCCCGCGGCACGACTTCTCTGAAGAAGAGGTTGACGAGATTCCCCATCCCGTAGAGAAACAGGTCGTATTTCCAGTTCACCATGGGATACAGCTCCTTCTTGGGCTGCTGCTGCTCAGACTCTTCCACCGGCTCCTCACGGGGCTCGGCCCCCGCCTTGGTCACTGCAGCTTCTTGCGAAGCCATGGCTGCAGAGCCTTTTTTTCTGTTGAGTTGTTGTTGTTGTCGTATCGTATTGCAGCCGCTTGCTTAGTAGTTGATTTCTCCTTTAATCGACGTTATTAAATAATGATCCTGCTCGTCACTGTAACCCGATGCGCAGGGTGAAATGAAGATCCGATGCTCCGCGAAAGCTTGGTTGAGAGAAAGAGATGGAAGAGAAAAGTGGACAGGCAACAAGTAGCTTGAGCTTTTAGAGCAAAAAGCTGGGCCACGGGAGGGATGACGATTCCAGCGCGGAGGTGGGAAGAGGGGCTCTCCCAGGTTTTTTTTGTTTAGCTGCGCGACGCCAAGAAGGATCTCAGCTTCAGCTTTTGTCGGTTTTGGGGGAATAAAAAATAGAGGCGGGAAAAGAAAAAGAGAGAGTTAAATGAGTTGTTAGATTACATGTACGTGTAGTTAGTTACGTAGTTACATGCGCCTCTGAAAAGCGACGTTTCCCTTTTGCCCCCCAATCACCGGCGCGCCACTTACAACGAATTACTGCAACGTCCAGTCCATACACAATCTCCAACATGGGGGGATGCTGTCGAATTGAACCCTCCTACTGTACAGCTACAGGGAGCTCCAGTGGCCCTCCCAAAGCGCTAGCCTCGGGCGGACGAACGGCAAAGATCCACTGTCGATACCACGGTAGGGCTGCTGAGAACAAGGGGCCATGGTTACCTGTGCTGACCTTTTTTTGTTTTCGCCTTCAGGTCTCGCAATTAACATGTGCTTTTTGTCCCACTTCCTCGCCATCCAACGCAACTGCAAAAGAACTAAAAATAAAAAATCAAGGGTTTTGTTGTTGTGATTGTATCAATGCAAGGAAGGCCAGTCGTTCGGAATGTGTCTTTGATAGCGCAAATGCAGTTGTTTGAGACAACTCACAACACGGCAAGCTCGAAACTTTAAAAGAGACACCAACTTTGACGTTAATGCAGTCTGATATTATGCCGTGAGCTCTAGATAAACTCTAACAACACCTACTGTAACATCTCATCCAACCTAAGCATTTTCATCACGTAACCACATCAATGCGAAATAATACCACACCAAGTTAAATAATCATTCATCGTGAGCTTCTTCTTCTTTCGCGATATCCCTGCCGCTCTGTCACATGTAATTGTTAAACACCCCCCCGTAACCGCGTCCGGCACCGAACCCCGGAGATTGGTTTCATTCGGCCGCCGGAGATTTGTGCGACTCTGTAAGCACATGCATACACACTCCCAAGGCTGCATGCGAGATGCGTGCCATGCAAGGGGCAGCATCTGCTGTGCTCTGCTTCATTGTAAGAATCAAATTTGATGCCATTACTACCTAGTATTACAATGGATTCTATTGGAGTAGCCCAAACAAGATGTCATCGCCGTAACCAACTCCGCTCACCCACCACCAAAACTCCGTCTAAGCTACCCAACTCATCGCTGTGACGACCAAATCGCTATAACACTTGAAACTGCCAATCACTTCTTCCCCTTCTTTTTGTTGTTCGTCTTCTTCTTCCTAGCCTCGGGAACGCTCATAGTGCCCCCCTCAAGCTCACCCTCCTCGATTTGCCCTTCATTCTCCAGCTCTTTAAGCTTCTGCTGCCCAGAGATGAACATGGTCAAGTCTCTATTCATTTCCTTCAGTTCTGCATTTTCTGCCCTGAGCTCCTCCAACTGCTTGCGTATCGCCTCGACATCAGTGTCTAGATGCTCAATGCGTTTCATCAGCCCTTCATTAAGTCGTTTTTCTTCTTGTAGTGACTGGCCAAGACTCCTGGCGAGGTTCTCACCCTTCTTCGCCTTGTTCCTCTCCCGTTCGAGATCGCGCTCTAGCTGCGGGAGCGTCTCTCTGTTCAAGACTCCATATTCTTCCTGCAGAGTAGCATGTTGTTGCCGAGTTTCTGACAGCTCCGCTATTGCCTTTTCATACTCGGCCGAGGTTTTCGAAGCCTTATTAGCACTCTTGTTGATCATTCCCTCATAATAGGCCCTCTGAGACTCGAGTTGGCTCCCTAGCAAATGAGTATACTCGAGGCCAATCGTCTCCAATTTTGCCCGCGGGACCATGTCCTCATCCGCGCCTTCGCCGTTGGCGGTGTAGTTACCTCTTCCCGGAAGCTCGACGACCTTGCCATCGCCTTTATCGCGAATGAGACGATGCACCCACATATCACCCGCATAGTCCCATACGTGTTGTGTTTCCAGCTCCAAAGCAAAGCAGTGCGCCGTGTCTTTCCAGTGATCCTTGGCATGCCCTCCTTTATATCGGCCACACCCCAGATAACCACATATTAGGCAAATCCAGAGATCGTCGGCGCAATCACAGACGCTGCACAGATTCGAGGCCGACCCTCCAAATGGTTGGCTGTAAGGATTTGACGGATCTCTCTCCTCGGATGGGTTCGTAAACCGGCAGACTGGGCAGCCGGCTCCTTTCCAGCGCTGTAGGCACGTGCAGTGAAAGACGTGAGAGCACGGCACAGTCATCAATCCATTCGTCTCGTCCATTCTTTCTAGGCAGACTGGGCATGTGGGCAGCTCCACAAGGCTTGGAGTCGGAGGTGGGAAAGGCTTCAGGCTATTCGAAATGGCCGCCGAAGACGACGAAAGAGAATATTCGTGCCCCCGAGATGGGCTCGGTCGTTCGAATGTGATGCTCTTGACGAAGACTACGTGGCAGGCTTGGGACTGTGACTGTTTCCAAGGTCAGCATATGTCGGTTTTGCAGTAGAGGAACATGTTTCAATGACTTACCCCCATAGAGTTGAATATCTTGCCATTATACTCTCGCCTCCACAGTTTCGCCTGTTTGCTATCACGAAACTTGAGCAGGACCAGGTACCGATTCATCCGCGAGGTCATAACCATTCGGCAGTGACTAATGTCATTCTGCCATCGTTCTCCTAAGAAGCCCAAGAAATCTCCGGGTGTCATGTAGGCCGGAACAGCAGGGATGCAGAGCGTGGTGCAGTCCTGCATGTTTTCAGTTTCTTCTGCCACCTCGTGGGTGGAGGCAAGCCCAGCAGTCTCGTCACTCTCCCGGTAGAAATGCACGATGCCCCATCCAACTTCTGTATTCTTGCCCTCCAGCTCAACAAACTCTGCCTTTGTCGCCGTTCCTGAGCCGCTAAATGGGGGGCCCAGATCTGGTGCGGCGGATGGCCCAGCGACAGCAGTAGCCGCCGCCTTGCCTTCTCCAGTCATGTTGTTGTTGTTTTTATATAAGCCGGGGTCTAACGTTTCGATATTGATGCGCCCAAATCTCCAATCTCGGATTGCAGTCTGCGGTTGCAAGGCAGCCGTTGACGGCGGTAGAGGATAGCTATTCGCTCGTCCCAACAACTGTCGCCCTGGCAAGCCTTCGATTTCTCCTCCTCCGATTTCTGTGGGTGGTCGCGGGGTCCCGCAATCTATGACTCCAGATTTCGAGTTTGCGCCAAGCCCAGCTCTGCGGTCCAACGTAGCGAGAGCTCCAAAAGATATACGTCTACTTCTATCTGGTAGGTCTGTATTGCGCGCCGCCGATCGATGAGGTGGGGGATGGGCAGGAAGGTCGTCAAAAATGCTGGAATCGTTCGATGGAAGCCAAATATCTCGGCTGTTCTGCGCCGCAAATGTGTCTTGTCCGGCAGCAGGGTTTTCGGTCGGATAAAGCTCGAATTTGATATGGAAATAGAACGAAGTCATCTCCAAGCCACCGTTTTCGGCACCCTCATAAGGCTATTCAATATGATGCGCCAGCTGGTGAAGTTGCAGTAGGGATAATGGAGAGACAAGTTTGCAGGGTTAAAATTTGGAGAGCCAGAAGCCGTGGGTGAGTCGAGTATTAATATCAAGGTATCAAGGCGGGAAAAAATGTTTAATTCTGAAACGGGCCGAGAAGAGCCGATTCGTTAACATGGCGACACCTTCCGAGCATTAATGTCAGGTCGAAGGACACATTTTAAAGACCTGGTGGAGGAAAGTTACGAATCGCTGGAAGCTTCACGAAGCCGCAAGTAAAGTGGCGGCTCTACCTTGAAGCTGGCCCCACTAACTGCAACCACTCCAATATATGCATACATGACAACTCAATGCCATGGCCTGATTCTCAATTACGACTTGCTACTGTACGATATCGAATTCATTTCACTAAAAGTCATGATGGAGAAAAGAAAATTGTTTGCGACTTGTCAATGTTGACAGTCAGAGGTGTATTGTCGCGTACCGTGATATCGGTAACGCTGAAATGTGCTATCATAAACTATGATGACCAGTGCAATGGCCAAGTTCCCATATCTGCTTTAAAAAGAAGTTCCCAAAAACGCCGAACCGTCCAATTCAGTCGTAACAGTGCGGTCGTAAGCAAAAGACACCTTTTACTGGCCACCACGAAGACGCAGAACCAAGTGCAGTGTGCTCTCCTTCTGAATGTTGTAGTCGCTCAAGGTGCGACCGTCTTCCAGCTGCTTACCAGCAAAGATCAAGCGCTGCTGGTCAGGAGGAATGCCCTCCTTGTCCTGAATCTTGGACTTGACGTTGTCGATGGTGTCGGAAGATTCCACCTCGAGGGTGATTGTCTTGCCGGTCAGAGTCTTAACGAAAATTTGCATACCACCACGAAGGCGGAGGACAAGGTGAAGTGTGCTCTCCTTCTGAATGTTGTAGTCGCTCAAAGTGCGACCGTCCTCAAGCTGCTTACCAGCAAAGATAAGACGCTGCTGATCCGGAGGAATACCCTCCTTGTCCTGAATCTTTGACTTGACATTGTCGATGGTGTCTGATGATTCAACCTCCAATGTGATGGTCTTGCCGGTCAACGTCTTGACGAAGATCTGCATACCACCACGGAGACGGAGGACAAGGTGGAGAGTAGACTCCTTCTGGATGTTGTAGTCGGAGAGGGTTCGGCCATCCTCAAGCTGCTTACCAGCGAAGATCAGTCGCTGCTGGTCAGGAGGGATACCCTCCTTATCCTGGATCTTGGACTTGACGTTGTCGATGGTATCAGATGACTCCACCTCGAGGGTGATGGTCTTTCCAGTGAGGGTCTTGACGACTGAAGGATGTTGTTAGTCACAGTTGGTTGGATAGAAAGGCTGAATCAGATAACTTACAGATCTGCATACCACCACGAAGGCGGAGGACCAGGTGGAGGGTGGACTCCTTCTGGATGTTGTAGTCGGACAGAGTTCGGCCATCCTCGAGTTGCTTGCCAGCGAAAATCAGACGCTGCTGGTCAGGAGGAATGCCCTCCTTGTCCTGGATCTTGGACTTCACATTGTCGATGGTATCGGAAGACTCGACCTCGAGGGTGATGGTCTTGCCGGTGAGGGTCTTGACGAAGATTTGCATGGTGGCGGATTAAGCTTTGGCCGCTGGGAGATTCGTAGAGAGTGCAAGAAGATGCGCTGTTAACGGATATTCCTTAGGGTGGAAGAGATGAGAGAAGTGTTTGTGTGTGGTATGAGAGAGGAAAAAGAGAGAGAATGTGAAAATGGCTGCTGACGGGCAAGAGGTCCTTATGTAGGGACGAGAGGAGAGGAGTGGCAGCCTGAAGGGGGGCGGTGACGCTTTGGCAAGGCCGAGCGAGGGGAGACAGGCGCAGTGACCAGTGACCAGCTGGGCGCCCCATCTCGCCGCCTTGCAGGAGGTCACTGGTACGTACCGGCGAGTGAGTGGCAAGCGGCCATGATTCATCAGCCAAAGGCGCCAAATGCCCCGAGAATGCTCCAGAACCGTCCGGGGAAGGCGAGGTGCTGCCGGTACCTCGACCGCACGCAGCTGGCCGGTGGGACTCGATGTACTTGTGGGCCCGCATCCGGATAAATCGCTGCCACTAAGCACCAAGGCAGTCACCCTATCGAAAACGCGGTGGGGCTTATCGCCCGGCTGTGACCAATAGCGGAGGCTGCTGGCGTGTCATCCGCGCCCCTCTTTGTGCCTCTGTCTCCGCCGTGGTGAAGCGCTGCCAGCCTCTTGTTCCCTTGTGCTCTGTTTGCGCAGCGTGCAGTGGCAATAGTCTAATTGTTACAGTACCCAGCAGGAGGCAAAACGCGGAGAATACAAAAGGTGAGTCAATAGCCGCGGTGCATCGTCTTTGATACCTCAGTTCAGCTGGCTCTTTTTTTTCCTCTACCGCGCGATGCATTAATCCACTGCAGCAGGCCAAGATGCCGCCCTTCGCCCGAGATACGGATGATGCGACGGAGTTGCTCGGATGCACCATCGCGTTATCAGACCAGCGGTCAGCGTCAGTGACGTATTTGCAATCTCGAGGGCCCTTCTCTGCCTGCATCTAGATTGGGCTGCAGCTTCGAAACGACAAATTACCGCGCAACTCGCAATCTGCTACTAGCGATAATTTGGCATGGGATGGCTTATTCATTCCTTTCGAAACGCCAGCGCCGGTCCAGGAACAGGAAAGAATCTTCTGCCGCCAGAATCAGGTTTTCGTCATACAAGCCAGGGTCCGATGCAGCGATTGCATCACCTCCGCGATTTCGAACCTCAGGAGGGGCCGAGACAGGCGTCCGTTTTTAGCAGCCACCAGACTTGGTTTCGCGCGATACCGGGCGGGGCCTGGCCATTGACAGTGGGGATCTATTCTACGAACCGTCGCTTTGACGATTGCACGATAACAGCCTTTGATGGCATCGGACCAGCAATGAGCGTAGTAGCCAATAATTGTGAGACATTTGCTGAAGAAAAACTTGAAAGAGACGCCGACAATGGCATGGGCGGCTAAAGGGCACATGGCCAAATGTTCTTTCCCAAATGCCCCTCCCTTTCTCAAAGAGCCGGAAATAGCGAGCGGCTCTTCTTTTTCTCAGACATCGACTTGACTGAAGCCCATCATGATAATCGACGAGATGCTGTAGATCATCCAAGGACAACGTTCTGTTCCTGAGCCAACTTTCAACGTGATACCCTTTTAGTGCTCAACTACGTAGATCTCGAGTTTTTGGAGCAGATCAACATGCGATGTGCTCTCTCGCTTGCATCTCCTTACGGAGCAGCTGTACTAGGTAGATGGAGTGCGGAGACTAACAGCTGAATTGGGAACCTGGATGGAAGACCCGCAAAGCTTGTTTGTTCCACGCTCGGCTGTTTTTTTAGATCCAGGGCCACTGGAGCTAAGCTGGAGAAGAGCTCGACAATCTCTCTGGACATGTTACTTCACATAATTTACTTTCTCATGATCCGAAAAACGCAAACTTTTGAATTGTAGAGCTACCTATGATGAGAGTTGAAGGAAATCCTCAGCAACTCAAAGGTCCCGCCGAGATAAAGAATCTCAAGCATCAGCTAAGTTTAGTACTAGTAGCAGCCATAAAAGGAGTCTGCTTCAAAATAAACCATTCCACCCCGTATTGCAATCCCAATTTTGTAGTACGATCCGTCCGAGAGTCAAAGTGAAAAATGAAAAATGAACAGCAACTTCGTGCGTTGAAAAGAAACCAGATCATGTAGCGTGATAGAGAAGAAAGTAAGAAAGAAATAGCAAATTCCTCAGCCTTAAAGCCACCAAACTCCATCCCTTCCTGATCACCATTTTTCTCGCGCCGCTCTTTTCTCTCCCGAATTGTAAAGGCATAGGCCACTGACGACCTGTCAGTCGACAAGTTTGCTTTCCTGTTTGTACATCAGCCTCGTATCAAATTGAGTCTGCGTGCCATGCACATACCTTTCTTTCCTGTTTTTCTTTTCTTGTTCCGTTGCTGCCGCTTCATTCGTCGTGTTTGACATCTGATAACCACTTTCACTCCATGCTGATAATGAAGCGGTGGCCTCTGCAGCACAGATAGCTCGACCCATCTGAAATGCTACCCATTGCTTTTCTCCCAAGCAAACCCCAACGTCGCCGTGCGGTTTGGTTTCTCCTACGCGAGCTGCTTCTACATCCGTCTCTCAAAAAGCTCCAGTGCTCAGCGCAGTGTCGTTGTTGCCTTGCTACTCTCCATCTTCCTCATTGTTGTCATCCTCAGACTCACTGCTGGTATAGGCAGTTTTGCCCCATTCTTCTATAAACTGACGAACCTTGGGGGCACCTCTATTGCTCACGAGGCGAGTTTCCAAGGCTTGGAACTTGCTTTGTAGAAGGGGAGGTAGATGAGACGTCCCCTTGCGGCCCTTGCTCCACTGGGCAAGCTTGGACAATGCCAGAAAAGTATATATCGAGTCGGCCAATTCACCGTCAAGAGATAGAGCGTTGCAATATCGAGCATCTTCAGGAGGGAAATGTAGTTGTTGCTCCTTTTGAGGAGAAGAACCCATAAGCTTGAATAGAAGGGCTGAGAATGCATGCGAGTTTATCATTTGTGGCTCATCTTTCCAGGTTCTCTTGACAGAATCGAATTTCTTCCAGTCAAGCTCCTCCGTCGAGCAGGCTGCCTCGAGTTGCTGGAACAGGACACGGGTTGACATCTGAGACTCAGGAGTTTTCTTTAGTTGCTTCTTCAAGGAAGCCCAAACAGGATGAGATGCTTTCGGGATTTCTCCTAAAAGGAGATTAACCCCGCCGTAGTATATCTTCGGAAGTAAATGCCCTCCCCTCTCCCGCGGTCTGCCCTCCGCCCGGCTATCCACAAGACGCGGGTGAGAGTCGGTTTGAGCGGTTGCATCTGAATCTGATTGAACGACGCATGGTTTCTCATGAGGAATATCTTCCCGCGATACGTCTTCCATCTTGAGATCGCTCATTGTGAGGAACTGAAAGTGAGCTTTAGCGGAAGGAATAGAAGAAGAAAATCTTGACTAAAAAGTGGTGCGTGGCGGACGTGGTAGTATCGAAGATCGAAGATGATAGGATGTGTAAGAGGAAGAGGAAGAGGAGAGAAGCTGCGAGCAGCTGCATGGAATATATAGGTGTACCCAAACTTCTTGCAACCTCAGGCTGTCAGGATCACGAGAGAGTGCATCAAAAGCAGAGCAGGTGCACGAGCACACGAAGGCACCTCTCTCCTGGCCGCCAGGTGGCAGCATTAATAGGTATCATACTGAGATTCTTCTCTTCCTTGTCCAATGTAGGCTTGCAGTCTTCTTCTCAATTACACTTCAAAACACCGCCCCTCCCAAGATGTTTTGAAACATATTCAAGGATCTCATTCTACCCCTCCACACATAATTACATTGGCAATGAACATATCAGACTGTAGGACCTGACACTTTCGGTTCGTCTTCAGGACCATTCTCTTTCTTCACTATGACTCGGCACTATTCTTCCCTTGGCCGTCTTTTCTTCATTCAAGTACTTACTCATTGATTGCACTTAATCTCTTACCTCATTCAAAGATATGTTCCGCAGTCAATTTGACACGTCTTCAAATTTACCGCCACCCAAAAAGACCTTACATCGAAAAGAACGGAGCTTGACTTCTCCTTCTGCACTACACAGTGCTGCCACAAAATCCCTAAGTTAAAGGGTAGAGTGTATCTCACCAGAAATGAAAATATAATTAAATTTAGTTATTTTCCAATTTCATTTCTTGTACGCCAAAGGAATCTTGTCGTTTCTGGCGGGCTGGTAAATAAGTCTCATTGATATGTAGGGTAGGTCACCGAACCTCTAGAATCCGCCCCTCCACCAACAAAATTTGGAGAATTAGATGATCTATTCAATTAACAGGTACCCATGCTATTTCTCCCATATTTTACAATTTAACCTCAAAAGGCAACATCATACAATGTCAATATAGAAGGCCACCTTTTCGACAACTATCTAGTGTATTTAAGTTCCATAACACGGTTCTAAACAAGTGCTCTCATCCAGCGTCCCACAATAGGTAGCCCGAGATGTTCTCTAGCACTGTACTATCAAACGACTGCATTCCAGGGAAGAATAATCACTCAGCTGTTTGTACACATCCCTATGGTGCTAAGTAATTAGCTGCGTCTGCAGAGTAAAATATTTCAGGAATAGTTCTAATCTCACCACATCATGCACACCGCTTCCCGCATGCTTCTCCGATGAAGCCGGCTTACTGAAAGAAACACGGCCTCTCTTTTTCAGTACCTACGCCCTTATCTTTCTTGATAGCAATTAAGTCTTTCAAGAAGTGGTTATCTTATCTCCAACTTCAACTCTGTACTCGGTATATCAAGTGCTCGGTGAAGGAATCGGAAGCAAAGCTACCACAAAGCCTAGCTCGGGCGTGTGGCGGTGGAGCAACTCTGCCCATGGCAAGGCAAGGCTGTGTGGGCTTACTCACATAAACAAATGTGAATCACTGGTCAAGGCAATCATCATTAGGAGAAACAGTTGCTTCCATTAACAATAGTCAAAGCCGTTTTTTATTCGTGGCATTCCCAGCCATCGCACCCAACTGCCTAACTGGTCAAGGCATCATGTCAAATCATCCCGCTCCATCCAAGGCCAGGTCAATAGCCGTGGCCCAAGGCGCCTAAATACCATGCATGTTCGTCTATGCTGCATAACCACTCGTCTGTAGATCCCATAACACTACATCATGCAACATGATCCCATAACGAACATAACCGAGAGTGTCCACCTCTCCGCCGCAAAAAAGCAAAAAAATCAAATCGCAAATCGCAAATTCCCGTGTTGAAAGATGAGCTGCCCGATGGAGTAAAACCAAAAGTGTAAAGATAGATAGAGATAGGGATGAAAGGAGAGGTCTTCTTCTTCAAGTCATACATTCGTGGAAGAAAGTCATATCAAGCTCGTTAGACATTCCGCAATACCGTCGTGTTGTGTATGGCGGCGGTCAACCAATGAAGAGAATAGAAACGCTAAGGTGAAGTAGATGGCGAGCTCAGAAGTCGTCCTCAAAGATTTATGCAGAGAATCTTATCACAACGCCGTCGCTGAATGACCGTAAAAGATTCATGTAAAAAGAAAGTCGTGAAGGAAATGATGGTGACGAGCGCGTCTACTAGAGCCTGTCCCATACATGACAAGGAAAATTGAAACAAACAAACAATCAGAAACCCTCTATTAGTTAGCCCGAATAACAAGCTTCGACAAGAACTTGTTTGAAAGCGAATCAAAATCATAGCGGTCAAACTTGGCTTCTCTCCGAGTTCGCAAGTAAGCCTCTGAAAGGTTTCGTTAGCATACCGTACCACTCACGTAACCATGTTTGATGGAGCACAGGTGTGCAAACTTACCATGCTTGATGACATGTTGTCGCACCTCGGTCATAGCATCACAGACGGCGACATTGTTGTGAAGCAGGTGGCCGTGCTCACGGGTGTCCCAGTCGGTGAAGGCTGGGAGCTTCTGAGAGATGGCGTGGAAGAGGCCCACAATAACACCGACAGGGGTGGTTTCCATGTCGTTGCAGAATTTGTTCACCGCCACAGGGTCAGGGACGCGGTAGTGGCAGTCAAACTGCATCTCTTCCCACACAGCCAGGAGGATGGAAGCCAGGAGGAAGATGGTGGGCCAGTTCTTCATCTTCTCGCCGCTGTAGACACCGGAGTAGAGAGCAGAGAGCTCCTCCAGGATGTCCTTCTGAAGCTCGCGCCACATGTCAGCCAGAGCACACTTAATCTGGAAGTTGATCATGACAGGCGCAACGGTGCGGCCGTAGTACTTGGAGTCTTCATCGTCGATCTGGCCGTCAAGCGGCATCTCGGATCCCTGGCTCTCAACCATGGTGATGTGCATAGTCAAGTTGTAAGCAAGGACCAACTTAAGGGCCTTTCGGATGACAGGCATCTTCTCCTTGACATAGTAACGGTGAGCAGTCTTGAGGATCTCGGTGATGAAGGGAGTGCCCTCAAAGTGATCGTCAATGAAGTCCTCAAAGGGGCCCTCAATGTGCTTGTCGAGATACTCAGAAAGAGCATCAATGCGGATACCCTCAGCGCCGACGTCAAGCTTCTCAGTACGAGTCTCAAAGTCAATCGTGTCGTTGGTGGTGACATACGACTCGACCCACTCGACGGAGAAGCAACTGTCATCGGCAACGTAGACCTCACGAACCATGACAGGCAGGGCAAAGCCATAGCCGTGGGTGATCCACATGAGTGTCTCCTTTTGAGCAAAGCCCTTGACGTTGTAGACAGATACTCCACGGTCCATGTGCCTCTCATAGTCGGCCTTCCAGTCCTTCATAAAGTAACCAATGTCCTTGATGTCAATTCGAGTGCAGGGAACTTGCCAGAGACGAGCGTGGGATGGCTGGCATCCAGCGCAGGGTTCTCCCTTATCGCAAGTCTTCTTAAGGAATTTGCATCGCAGGCAAGCACGAAGCTTTCTTATCTCGCTGGCTTGCTTTCGCTGCTCTGGCAAAAGAGGACCCTTTCTGCGGCCAACCTTCTTCTCGACAGATCCATCCTTCTTTCCGTTGGAAATGCGCCTGACGACGGTCTTGGGCGTCTTGGCAATTGGGCTCTTGCGAATGCCCGTGCCCGCGCTCCTCCTTGAGGTGGTGCTAGACGAAGAGGGAGACACTGAACCTGCTCCACTGCCGGGGCTGTGGCGGGTGGAGGACTCGCCCTTGATGGAGACCGGGGCAGCTACCGTGGTAGGGCTGTGGTTGTGGCTATGGCTATGGCTATGGCCGTTGTCATGGCTGTGGTGGTGACCGTCTGCAGAATAGCAATTCCGGTGTCCGTTGTGGTTGTCCGCCTGGCCATCAGAGTCTGGTGAGAAAGGCGAATAAGGGAAGGGGGGGATTTCCTCGAAGCTACCGACCTCGACCGAGTTGCCACCGTCTGAAGAATCAGAGTTGGTCCGCAGATGAAGTGTCTGCGAGGGGTTGAAGATGGCGGCACTTGGGGTGGGCTGAAATAGCTCATGGCCAGGATGTCCCCAGTCTACCATTGCCCACCCATCGCCGGATGATGAAGATGGTAATGAGAGGACCTCAAGATACGTTCCAGTGGGTGAATTGCTGCCAACAGTGGGCAGACCATCGAGCTGCAGAGTATTTTGAAAGTCTTGCCAATTTCCCATTCCTGCGCCTCCCCAGTGCATTGCGTGTGCGGTGTCATCCAAGGCAGGCATCGAGCTGAAGGGCGACTCAAGAAGATGGGTCTGCAAGGCAGCCTGAGTCGTCGCCGGGAGATATTCGAGAGGGTGGTATCCGGGAAAGGCATTGAAGTTCAACAGCGTAGATTCCTGGATGTAATGTGACAAGTCGTGAGCGGGCAAAGTCTGATGCTGCGCAGCGGAAGCCGCCTGTTGCTGATGATGGTGAAGAGCCCAGTCGGTTAGCGGGTTCGTGTGTTGCTGGTAGGGCGAGTGCTGCAGCGGCGAGTGCTGGCTGTGAGGGCTGGACATGTGTGAGAGAGGCGAGTTTGGGTGGTATTCCTCGGGGGAGCTGCCTCGAGCTCCCGGAGGCGAGTTGTGAGCGTTGGCGTTCATGTCGATAGGAAGATTCCAAGAACCAGTGACGAGGTTGGATGCAGGCCCTGGACTCGAGTGAGCTGTGGTTGTGGTTGAGTAGCTATACGCAGCAGCCCGGTCCCGCTGGTGCTGTTCAAAGGTCAGATCGAGTAAGGCATCGCCCCCGCCGTTGACATTGTAGTCGAGGGTCATTCTGGGAGAGAAGAGGAGAGGAACAGTCAAGCGTTCCGCTTGGATGCGAGCAAAGGGCGTATTGTATGAAGTTGAGCCGATGACACCGCTCTTTCGTGATGTTGGCAGTGGCACGCTCGGTGCGTTGAGGGATGATCGGGATTACGGCGGGGAGAGATGGGAAAAAGGAAGAGAAGGGAAGCGTCCGGGGTGCGAAGAGAAACGAAACGGTTTGCTGCAGGCCAGCTGGATAAGGCGCTACGGGACGCTCTTTTTCTTTTCTTGGGTGCCTAGACGAACAGCCGCTGGCAGGTTCCGGCGCCCAGACAAGACAGACAGTTAGTCAGTGCAAGCAAGCAAAGCAGTGCTACCGTGGTGGTGCTACTGTGCTGTGCGGTGGTCTGTACAGTTCAGACAGTCTGGCAAGGTGGTGGTGGATGGATGGATGGGATTGAGGAGATGGATGGACGTTGGAGTGGGTGGTCGGCGGGTTGGCATGATTTGGAGGCATCGCGAGCGGGGGCTTGAAGAGGCGGTGAGCTCAGTCGCCCAGCCCCGGGCCGGGACGAGCAGCCAATGGGCGCCGCCAAGGCACATCTGCAGCTGCACAGGTGTGGGGCAGCCGGCCGGCGATCCAGCGAGGGCCACAGCGAGGGCCCCAGGGAGCCACAGAGGGTCACAGCGGGCCACAGAAGGGCCACAGAGGGGGACAGAGCGCTACAGGGCCACGGCGCAGACCCCAGGGCCCAATCGGAGCCAAACAATGCACTGTGTCGCCGCCAGGACAGTATGACTTGGCCACGTCCGAGCGACAATGGCGCCATTTGCTGCTCGCTTCGCCCGCACCGCGCACAGTGTCGGAGCGCGCTGCCCGCACGTATCGGAGCAGGAGGGGCATCGGGGCGAGACACCGCAGGAGAGAAAGGATCCGAGGGGTCCTTGCTACATACATGCACTCGACCAGGACAAGGAGGCTATCATCATGCTGGTCATGATACTAACACTGCTACACTACGATACTAGCAGCCGTTTACAGCTCTCGCTCGTCTGTGCTTCGTGCCACCGTGCGACAAGGCCCAGCCATGGCTTGACTCTTCCCTCTGCTAGCCTAACTTAATCTAGCGGAGATCCCGTCGTTTACTGTCCACGGCCTCGATGGAACGCCAGACGAAGCATCGCCGCGAAAACCATCGCCAGAAGAAGCGACTGCAGTAGCATCGTTTTTGGCTGCGCAGAAACGGAGCGAAGTCCGGCATCATGACTCTCTAGTACTGGCTATTTGCACTGTCCCAATGCCGTCATTCGGCGCACACCAAGGAACGGCGTTTCATTCCGGAGTCCTTCGTCTCTGCCCTCTGCCAGATCTGGGCTGCCACGTCTTTGGCACGTTTCCAAATACGAACAAACGCCTCACACTGCACATGCGCTCCGTACGATACGTACATACGAGTGCTACTTCAGACAGCACATCGTATATATTGCCCCCGTGGTCCAACTAGTACTACACGATTCGAGCGAGCCACATCAAGCTCCGGCGTCCCCCCCACCAGACTCCCTGGTCAAGGTTCCATTGCAGCAAGGGTTCATCGGAAAAGTAAGAAGAGAAAAGTGTAAAAAAAATCAAATGTGAGAAAAAATGTGAGAGCGAGGCCTGAGTGGATACACGGCGGCGCTGTTTGCCTTCGCAGCAGATTCGTTTCGGCTTCTGGACAGGGTGATTCCCCAGCTTGACGAGCGTGTAGCTCATGATACTGACCTAGAATCCAATAGCATCCCGCCATGGGTCAACCAAAACACAAGAAATCAAGAACGAGCGCCTCCCTCGATTCAGGCGGCGGCTTGCAACCCTGGTTGGCCGCCCCATCCGTCCCCAGAGTCCCGGGAGCCCCCTCGTACACATGCCATCCTATAACTCGCTGGCCGTCGCCGCCGCTGATGCATTGCCCGTCGAGCTGCGCATAGGAGTGATGCGCTGTCATTTTGTGGCGTGCACACCAAAGCAGCTAAGGCTCCAGCTAAACCCTTATCACCGATCATCCATGGATGGCCAGACTCGATAGATCTGCTGCTCTGCTTCTGCTACGTGTAATGCGGGCGGCACGAATCGAGTGCGTGCGTTCCGTGGCACCGTCGTTCGGACGGAAAGCATTGATCCTTTTTCCTTTTTGCCACGGTCCTCGCCATAGCCGCCAGCCAGTCGGGCAGCGTGATGCAACAATGGCCGAACCCAACCTTTGCAAAATCTTGTGTACGGAGTACTCATACAGTACATACATGCATGCATGGGAAGCAGGGTGCCGAGACACTCTGCCCTGTAATACCTACTAACACACATTTGCTCGATACATGGACGGCGGACATCTGAGCCAAGCCAATCCCCCAGCCTCGCCTCCCTTGCCTAAAGCCGTTTAAGCTACACAATGCCTGGGCTGGGAGAACATTGCATCCGAGACATACATATTCCTCTACAGTGAGGCTTGCAGGAATGATGTGCGCCCAAGCAGAATCCAGCTAGATCGGTATTCACCTACACTTTTGCGATCGATCATCATTGAGATATGCATGCGGGTGTCCCATGTGCCTTTAGAGTGCTTGATCTCTTTTGCTGCATCGGGTTAACTCTGGCTGTGGGCATTGGCCGGACCATTGCACAAAAGTAGAGACTCGGGACTTATTTAAAAAGGCAAGGGAGGATTGGCGTATTGGCCTTCGGATAGATACCGTCCTCCCCGTCAGTCTGTTGGCCCGCTTGACGATGCAGGAAGCAGGCCTATTCGACCGAGTATCTGCCCAGCAAATGGTGAGCTGCCAGTAGTACGAGACCGGAAGAAAGCTGCTGACCTGGCCCTCGGTGACGGCCGAATCAGATGCTTGATCCTTTCAGTCAGTCTTCATCATCATGAGACCGCACTTAGGCTTGGAGTATTCTATATTTACGAGTACATCAAACATTCAAGGGCTCTCTCCATTCCATACCCCAGCCACTCGACTTACATTAGCTAAGCGACGTAACAACACTACCGACGGCTAGTCTCAACACCAACATCTGAGCCTCACCTCGCCATCTGGGTCCGCTAGCCGATGAAAATTTATACTCCGTAACGCCGTTGCCGATAGAGCTCCATACGAGTACATGAACAACACGCTGAGTCGCGGTACGCGCTGCTCTACTAGTGCTAGCAATTGTCATGCATTTGCATGGCTCCAAACGGGCAGCTTCTTGTTGCGTGGACGGCCACTCCTCGCCTGATTTTTTGCCATTCCTCGACTGCCGCAACCGCTCCGCTGCCCAACCGCCATGGCATGGCCCCCTGCTACAGCATTACCCCATGGCCTACCCTGCTTTTTTCTCTCTCTCTTAGCTGCAGCGCGTGTTCAAACGTGCTCTGTTTGGGCAGACTGTACCGCTCGATCTCGTACTATTTTCGCTGCGATGCTCTGCTAGCAGGCACCCCTGGAAGACCCATCGCCAGCCACCGGAGTCAGGAAGGTCAGAGCGCTACGCCAAACCTCGCCGTGGGCAAAGAGCATTGAGATGACCCGCCGAGATACTTTGAGCCGGACGCAGTGCTAAACAACTGGCCAACAAAGACTCGAAGAGTGCGGAAATGCCTTCCTCGGCGAACGTGTTCCGGCCCAACCCCGCCTCAGGCTGTTGATGTGTGTTACATCCTGCCCTCGGTTGTCTGAGACACAAGATCACATTACCCACTTTGGAAGATCTGGGAGGACCAAGGCAAAAGAGAAGCCCGCCAAGAGCCGAGGAGGGCCCTTGCACCGCCGACGACAGTACTCCGTACTTGGCGGCGCGTGATACCATGCTCCCACGGTCATGATATACTGCTTATCACTCGTGCCAAATGCTTGATTGAAGGGTCTGCCCATATTGATATGCCACGATGTTGATCAACAGACCCTGTTCCGTCCTGTCTGCGGCGGACGTCTCCCGATGCGAAAGTTTATTGGCAGAGCTGTTTGTGCATGATCATGTTCTCAGAACCCTCTACGACTCACCCAGCGTTTAACAGGGCTCTTAATCCATGACATTCCATGAGTTATTCTAGACTACAACTACAGGTCCGAGTATGGTCATCAGTTCAGGGGAGCTCTGGTATATCCCAGCCCTGGCCATTAGACTTTGAATCCTGCATAATATCAGGGTCTTGTCAGCACGAACAAGATCGGAGGATATTGTCTCCTGAGAATCATGATTTCTGACACCGGAACCCTTGAGGATTAATCGGCCGAGAAGCTGTTTTGCCCCGCTGAATCATGACTCGAGACCCGGTTGTCAACTGCCATCTGCCATCCATCCAAGCGAAGTGTCATCGTGCGACTCGGCGAACGGGACGCCTCATCGTACAAAGCAGCAGAGTAATCCGGATGTGTCCGGGCCTCGGTGGAGAGACAGTCAGCTCGTAGATGGAAGATGCAGACTGGTCTTCTAGAAGTATTGCTAGTAGCGGACCATGGCCTACGGAGTACTGAGACTAGGATCTTCTACTCTGTAAGCTGTAGGACTACGATTGCCGATGAGTAGTAGCACCGAATGACAGGCATCGCCGCTCTTACTTCCCAGCTGACTGGTTAGTCAATAACCAGGCCTTGGTATCAACTTCTAGATGGTAGTATCAACAGGGGATGTCCTGTCCAAACATGAAACGGGCATCGGTGATTAGTTTTACATCAATGTGTATGAAACAGGCGAAGATACTGTAACAGGCAACATGGCAAGAGAATAGGCAACTCATTAACAGCCACAGCCCCTGGAAATGTTGCTTCTTCCGGAGAAAACGAAAGATTTCGGAGGTAATGACGAGGCTGTAAGAAGACTCAAAGAGGCGCAACCTGAATAGGTCTCCTCAGATCTAGGGTTACAGCCATGTCCCGAATAGCTCAGGCAAATCTCGTTTGAATGCCATTCAAGGGATCGCCACTAACGATTAAACTCTAAAGGCTAAAGCCACAACATGGTTCAACAATATGTTTCAGTTTCGTTTATAATCAATGAATCCTTGAACCCGTTAGCCAGAGCCCTCAGCGGCGTAATGATGGCGCAACTGGAGAATGTATTTGCAGACCAACGTTGCCTGGTTCCAGCCAATTCGGGCAGATCAACAACATCATTCCCAATGTCTAGCCGCTTGTATTCAGCCTCGGCAGAGCTAGGACGTTGGGTTGAGGATTAGAGCCCATCTAACAACGCTTGCACCAGAAAGTGGGTGTCGCAGAGAGAGGGGGCGCTAAATTGCTATCCGGGATATTGCCGGCAACAATAGTTTGGCTACGACTTCCTCTTCCCATTGTTCTGTTACGGCCTGACCATTTAGTTGATACTGAGTGTACCGTTCACGGGCTGATTGTCAATAGCTCCCAAGCACAAGCAAGGTGGGAGGATGAGCGGGGTTGACATCTGCTGTCCTGCTAAAAAGATGACAAGGCCCTGAGTCCACATGATGAAATCTCGAGCAACTTTACGAAACCGTCCTCGAGTAATCTTTAGGCATCATCTGAGAAACAACATGGCCGCAGCCGTGGAACAACAGCCAGGCCCAGCGGCGCATGGCGTACACCAAGACGCGTCTGATTCACCCGTGCCTAGTCTTTTCACGCAACCTCCTGTGATTCGCGATGCGCTGGAGACGGACTCATCTCATATCCAGGATGAAACCGTCGAGGAGGTTCTACCCTTCCTGACTGGCAAAGAACACCGCTACCTCAACTCCCATGGCATCCCTCGCCTGGACAAGGAACGGCATGCAAGGTTCCTAACAAAGCAGCTAGGAGTGCTGCCGAGCGCATACGTGGGAGCGGATCCAAGCCGGCCGTGGATATTCTACTGGTGCCTGAATGCCCTGTCTCTCCTTGGTGAGGATGTTGAGCCTTATCGCGCCAAGCTGGTCGAGACAGTGCGTCCGATACAAAACGAAACAGGTGGATTCGGAGGGGGTTTTGGCCAGGCCTCACACCTCGCCACCACGTATGCAGTTGTTCTTGCGCTGGCACTGGTTGGTGGGGACGAAGCGTTCGAGGTGGTTGACAGGAGAAGCATGTGGAAGTGGTTGTGCCAACTAAAGCAGCCGGATGGTGGGTTCCAGATGGCTGTCGGGGGCGAGGAGGATGTCAGGTATGTCTTTGATCGGCACGCCCACGCTGTGATACCAGGCTCTTAACTGACGTCTCGCTCAGGGGGGCCTACTGTGCGGCTGTTGTGGTTTCGTTGCTCAACTTGCCCTTGAACCTGTCGCCCGAATCTCCTGCGTATGCCGCCGGCCACACTGATCTCTTTAGTGGGCTGGGTGAATGGGTACGGCTGTGTAAGTTGTCTCTCCCCGTACATGTCTTTTTTCCGACCATCCCGTCTTGATTGCCGCTCTGTCTAACAAGAATGAGAATCCAGGCCAGACGTACGAGGGAGGCGTGTCAGCAAAGCATGGGATCGAGGCGCATGGCGCATACGCCTTTTGTGCTCTAGGATGTCTCTCAATTATTGATTCCCCACACCGAAGCGTTAGACGGTAAGTGTCTCAATCTAGGGTGCTGTCTATTGACGCAGTGCCATGAGAGCTTTGCATTCTGACCCGTTCCCCGGCGCGGTAGGTACATGGATGTGCCACGTCTTATCTCTTGGCTCTCATCTCGCCAGTATGCTCCAGAAGGTGGCTTTTCAGGCCGCACGAACAAGCTTGTCGACGGCTGTTATAGCCACTGGGTTGGCGGATGTTGGCCCCTGATCGAGGCCAGTCTGAGCGGGCCTGAGGGGCCGACAGCTGGCCCTGCAGGTCGCCCGCTCGAAGCCACCGATGCAGACGACAGCTTGTTCAGCCGAAATGGCTTGATTCGATACATCCTTTGCTGCTGTCAAGACATGTCTAAGAGGGGTGGACTAAGGGACAAACCTAGCAAGTGGGTGCTCCCTTTCTCAGGGCGAGACTTTGCAGAGCAATCACACTGATGCCTTAATTTTTTTTCCACAGGTACTCGGACGCGTATCACTCATGCTACGTTCTATCCGGCCTCAGCTCCGCACAAACCAAGTGGCGTTTGATTGCCTCTCGTGCCGATGAAACCCTTCTCGGAGACGATCGCTGGGAGGCGTCACCTCACACGAATGGAGTCCAAATCTTTGACGAAGAAGACCGGATTGCGACCACCCATCCCGTTTATGCGATCCCTCAACACAGAGTCGACGAGATTCGAAATTACTTCCTGTCGAAGGAGAGCTTCTAATTGTAATGGGGTAAAAAGTGGTTATTCGATATTACATAGCAGACACTGCTTACCCGGTCTAGCGGAGCAATCAAAGAGCACTAACCCAATATTTGTCCAGTCATTTGTTCTCTACCAAGCCGTTGAGAAAGCATGCACTCGCGCACGATAAGGGTTAACCACATGCTATAATCACGTGTCCCTCAGGGGCTTAGATACAGTCCTTGATGTTGAGTCGTTGAAGCGAGGACGTGTTGAGATGGCAGACGAGTGGGTCGAGCGATGGCCGCCAATAGCACTATGCTACGACGCACTACCAGCAGCAGAAGCAGCAGAAGCAGCAGTACTATCCGATCCTTCGAGGGACAGGACGGTGAAAAGTGTTTCTCGTGGCCGATCCGACCGCCTAGCCGTGGATTGATGAAATCCGCCACCGCTTGATTAATTCTCCTTGTCTTCTTATTCTCCTTGGTTGACGGCTCACCAGCTGGCGGCACTGCAAGGAAACCAACATGTACTTGAATCAATTATGAGCATAGCAACATATTTTTATCCCGGACTATGATTCCAGCGGCTCGCTTCGAATGGAAGGACCCACGATCTTCCACACACGTGAAAAGTGATCCAAAGGTGGCATCTGAATGCTGTACAAGTAGCTCGGGCTTATGCCTTCGCGAAGCAGGCCGTCTGGGGTGGCTATCCCGAAGCAGCACGAAGTACGGTGCAAGGCTCCTCGTTTGGACGGCCGTGCATTGCATGTACGGAGTCCTCCGTGCTAGTGCTCGTTCCCCACACTCTTTTACCCGTCAAGGGTATGGTCTGCCAAGTCTTCAAGCTTCTGTTTGTAGCAAGTTGTCTTTTTTTGCCCTCCGGCTGTCTGTGCGACGTTCCCAGATGCCCCGATCATGCCCAAGGCGGAGTGTAACCTGTACAAGACGGCTTACAAAATTGAATATGTACGAGTACTACTTGTAAGTTGGAGCTATAAGTGATATTCCTTTATCCTGTGTCTACAAGAGGATGATGCCAACACGCAGCTGCCCGCCCGCCGACAGATTCCGGAGCACTAGTTGAAGAAGCATGTCTCGGATGAAGACTCATGGGAGGGGGGCTGCCTTGCGCCACACCGCATTCGCAGTTCTGCACATCATCGCCAGACCAAGGGTGGGTTACTCTGTATCGAGGGCTGATATTCTTGGACAGATTCATGTCGGCATGGATGCGAGGACGTACCGCATCCCGCCCGATGCGTCCGCAGACAGCCGTTGCGTGGGTTGGGACAACACCTGTTTCCTCACATCACCAGGAGTCATACAACTCCTGTTGGATATATTCTCTGGGCGATCCCTTCTGCTCTGCTGGATTGAAGCCATACCTCCTAGTCCAGCAGGGAGAGGCCGGTTACGAATGATAGATACGGAGTACATGGCATGAATCCATTAGTTGCCGCGGAGTTACCCCGACCCTCCAAAAGACTCAATATTCCAGCAAGCGTCGCCCTTGATCATCAACCGATTGCGCCGTACATATGCACTCTTTTAATGTAAGAAGAGGCAACAAAATGTCTTTCTTCTTCTTTTTCTGTCAAAATGGCACAGGTCTCACGCACACGCCCCCTCCGCTTATAGGGCCGCATATCATGCGGCCGCCTTACATGGCCAGCCTGCTTTTATTCCGTACACTTGCACAAGTCAACTCTCTGAGAATTTGCACAGGCGTTTGGATTTTCCTCTGCATACGGCGGCGAGTCACAGAATGAAAGGAGGGGAATCAAGTTTATCACTTCCCCTCTGAGGAGGAGGTATGAGCGAAGAAGCAGCCCTTCGGACAAGACTGTGGCAAACATCTTGAAGCCATATCAGAAGACTAACAGCTGGCTCTCTCTCTCTCGCATCTCTTCTCCCACCCCCAATATTAGTATCAAGCCGCCTGTTCGCGGTCTTTCCTCTGCCGATGCATTGGAGCCGCCCGCTCAGGAGGTACCTGTCGGCTTACATCCCATCGTTCACCCGCCACCAAGGGACCGGGATTGAGGGAGGTGGAAGTGGGCATTTGCATGATGTGGATCGCCGTGTTTTTTTTTTTCTTTGCCACAGAGTTTTCTCTTGTTTTCTATCCTTCTTTTTTCCCGGCTTTTGACCTGGCTCTGCAGGGACCTCCTCCCTTGATTATCCGGTCTGATGGGCTCATGCTGCTGCATAGGGGTTACACGAAGCAAGGAGGAAGGCGTCCTTTGCAGACAACGACGCTTCTGGCCTAGGCCCTGTATAAAACGCTGCGTCTTACCAAGTACGTGTATGACTCAACTCATGTCCGCCGGCATACGCTGAGGAAGCACGAAAGCCATCGGAGATGTCAAAGCAGTGCTGCCAAAAGGCCTTGCCATTGCCTGGATATACAGTACTAATGTAGTGAGGCTGCTGCAAGTGGCATGAGTCCATATTAATGGCTCACCCGTTAGTAATGCCCTAGCACTGCTAGGTACTGCTAGGTATTTCTGCGACCCGCAGGAACATGTACCAGGTACCTTGCTGTCTGAGTTCCGATAGGTCAGCTTCAGCGATTGCTCCCAAAGGGCAGGAGCTATCCCTGCTTGACCGCTGGCATGGGCCTTTTTGACGTAGCAAAGCAGGGAGTACTTTGTACATGGGCATTGACACGGTACCTTACCATCTTTGTAGACTGGAATGTAAAAATCCAACGTACCTTACACGCTTGCCCTCACCATGCCGTGGCCTGGGTCAAGTCAACTTCACCACTCCGTACATACGAAGACGTGGAGAAGATGCATGCTTGTGCCTTTTACTCGTCCGGAATACCGCTGCATCCCATTTAGCCATGTTGAGGCAAAGGCAAAGGCAAGGGCAGGCCATCGAGAGGCGGCGCTGCCTGTCTGACGATACGACGGCCGAGGTGACGGCGATACCGCCTCACGGATGCATTGGTTGCAGTCTCGTCTGCTCCAATGCCCTTCTCCCTCGGTAGGGACGACAGCACGCGTCTACACGGCATTGGCCATAATCATCCAACCTCTGCCGAGTGGTCAACGCCCATCTGCCTCGTGCCCATCCCATCGCGGCCGCACCAGGTCGCTGGGACCAACGGCCGGATCCGAATCGCCAGCGATTGGCCTCCAGGGCACCCCGTAAAAAAAGAAACAAGACATTTTCCCACCAGAGACCCGGCCACTCAGTGCCATCAAGTTGGCGCTACGGAGCAAAGGGACTTTGCTTTTGACTTCACCTGGCAAGCTAGCTAGCGGAACTCTTAGGCGAACGATGAGAGGTGTTTCGGTGCCAAGAGCTGTCCAATTGTCGAATCACAAGCTCTGGCCGGCGATCCGCCCACCAGCTACGCTTGTGCTAGGCAAGGCGTCAAACCCCCTTTGCTCTTTGCCATGCTTTTTTTAGCATCCTCCATCACACATATCACAATGGATAGCAAATGGTATTTTCCGAGTTTCGCAGCAGACGCAACGGATCTTTACCCCAGACCAAAGTGTCATCCAGCGTGGGTGGCGTCTCCTCCTCGTGTGGTTCCGTTCCTGGGCGACGACTGAGGACGGACGGGGCTTTTTTCATCAGCAATTGACAAGCAGGTCAAGAAGAAACCGCTGCCGAAAGTGGCCCCCCTGGTCTCGGTACTACAAGAGGAAGCACTACTCCTACTCCTGCTGCTTCGTACATACTCGTACATACAATCGGTGCTACCTCTACCGGGCACGCAGCGGGCTTCCTGTCATCCATCCTCGCCCACAATTCCCAATGGTATACTACTTACAAGAGCTCTGCGTCAGCGCTCGGGCCTCCGCGCATGTGAGGATGACTGAGGGTGTCGCTGTCCCAGTACTATTGCACAGAAGCCGGGACACAAGTGTGCAAGCCACCGAGCACGAGTACTTGTACATGGCACCTTGGGGCAGCTTCGACGAACCGTTCGCTGCGTGTGTTTGCTTAATATCAACCGGCGGCACTGCCAGCTCATCGTTGCATGCGGCCTTTTAAACCCCCCCTCCTCACAAAGAGACTTAAAGAGGGTCAAAGGGTCCGAGGGCGTCTGCCTCATACTTGGCTGCCTTGCGCCCCCCTCTTCGCAGATCTGTCCAATCAATCGGGCCATCTTCACCGTAATTGTCACTATTGTTCTATGTCAAGTCTGGAACCCTGTGTGCAACGACGACGACACACCGTGTGCGCGCTTGGGAGGTCGAGGCAGGCATGGGAGAATCCGTACGAGAACTCACATACATGATACAGATACAATGGATGTGAGCAATATTATGTTACAGCTCGAGAGCCGCTGGATGGTTCTCTCGAACCGGGATCACCTTGCGTCCAACCTTTGGCCCACTATTCGCCAGTCCAGCTACTGCGACGCTAAAGAGATTAGACCTTGCGATGCAATGACCTGGGAGTATGGAGCACGGAGTATGTTTATCACTAAAACTTTGTGCGCTCTTGGTCTGCTCACTTTCATGCAAGTGGTTGCAGTTTCGCGCCTCTTCACCGACGTCTGAAAGCACCGACGAGGACCTCCCCTTTCTACCTCGGCCTGCAATCCGAGCAGCTTTAGGAAATAGCCTCCGTTAAGCGTCTCTTCATGGCGCCAGGACCACTGGCACTCTGCCAGATTTGCCCAAGTGCAGCTGGGGGGGGAGGTTGTTAGCATGTCGTCTCGGTGCCAATCACCCGGTATGTACCAAAGGGATATAGCCTCTGTCTTTGCTGGCACGGTACAGATGAAGCACAGCAAGGCCGGCGTTACGTATGTGTGACGGCTCATCCCAAGATTTGTGAACGCACACGCTTCCTCCTACCGACGATCGAAGCCACCACCGACTAACCTGGAGTGAACCAATCCAACCAAACAGCTGCGCGAGCTGACCACCAATGCCTAGGGATGTGAGCACGACTGAAAGATGTGTCCATGCCCGCCAAGCAGCATGTGTGTGTTCCAATCGTGCACATATTCTATTCGTGCAAATCCAATGGGTGCAATTGGAGCATTCATCCTGCTTTTCCCACTGGGGCTGTAACAAGTTCGTGCTGTAGACCAAGTTCATGTTACCAGTCACGGTGTATGCTCTGCACCCAAGGTCACCGACAATACACAGATATCTGCACAAGGCGCCATCTGTGGGATCCTGCTGTGCATTAGCGGCCGCCAAAGCATAGATCTCGGAAGGATATTCTTGGGTGATGGTGGTTACCAGGCGATACGTTTTCTCCCAGCTATATGGCGTCGTGTGGCTGGGCTGGCTCTCTCCTAAGCGATGTTTTACAGTACTTGTCGTTCCTTATCACCAACATTTACGAAGTAGATGTGGTGATATGTTGTTCTCTGTGGTCCAGTTGAGGATCGTCAAAGCTGCCATTGGCCCCTCTCTCCCCTTCTCAAATTTTCTTTTGCCACCACCCCCGTTGGCCAATTCAGGACGAACGAGGGGGAGCCCTTGCCCATCCAGTATTGCAGTTGATGATTTTCTTGCTGTCGATTGATTAATCGTTCGTGCGACCTCAATTGAACATGGCCGAAGCGCCAAACATGGGTCCCCGCCGCAGAGACAGGGGATTGGGCGCCTAGAGAAGCGACCCTTCCGGCGGCCAGAACGGCCGACATTACCTGTAGGAAGATGATTGCAGCGGCATGAACAAATGAGGACAGCTCGAGAAGCTAGGAAACCATGCTGAGAGAGACGAAAGGGCCCGGGTTGACTCGAGTAGGTGGACGACCCTTGACGAAAAGAAGCCAGGCCCCTAGCCAGGCCATACCTTACCACTTCGCTCTCTAGTTACCTCCATCCTCTGTCCATGCTACGACTCGTCCGCATCGCTGGGGCGAAACTTATTCGAGATGGGGAGACGACCATATACAGGTATGGTTAGGCAGTGCGTCTCTCTGGCACCCAAAGTGTACTGTACACTTGTCGTCTTGTACACTTTGTGGTGGAGCGGCCTAGTCCCCAGCGGTTTGCAAAATTAACTGGCAATGAGAGCTGCCAACACATCAACGATGGGGTCACACTCTTCCAAGAGCCGCATCGTTGCTCGCATCAACCTCCATTCGCGCGTTTCGCTCTCTCTCCAGACACCCCTCGGCCCCGCGCTAGGGACGACGTTTGCAATAAAGCCCACATGTCTCGCCAAAGGACCGGCTCATCCTGCTCTTGCGACAAGGCCCGTGGAATGCGTGGTAACGGAGCATCAGGACAGCGGCATACCACGTACATGCATACTCACATACTACCACTACGAGTACATGCATCCAGACAGGCAGACACATACATATGCATGCCCAGAATACTGCTTGCTACACATCCCATCGAAGCCATTCATTGCACATCTCTCTCCTCCCCCTTGACTGTTCTCCTTGTGGCCCCCATGCCAGCTTCCGACTAGGACGACCTACATACTCGTACATACACACATACACACATCCAGACGCAGATTCTCACATCCCGCGTACGGGGTACACGCGCGCGCATACATCCCTCGCCGCTTGATCTTGTCTACCGCCGCTGCTGCTACCGGAGCGGTGCGCCTGGCCTCCGTCTCGGCCGTCCTCGTGCTCCACCTTGGATTTGGCCAGCTTCTGTTCTTGAACTTGTTTCGTTTCCGCCTTCTCCTCCGCCGAAGCCCGCGCTTCTTGTTTCGATTTCTTCTTAATCCCTTCGTCTCCCTCTCAGTTCCCGCCGGGGCTTCGATTGTAGCTTCTCTCCAACCATCCCTGGATCCCGCCTCGGTTACACCTTGAACTTTGGTTTAACTTTTTTTGACTTTGCTCTCAAGGTTACCACGCAGCCATACTCCAATTCCTCTCAACTCAAACTCGCACACACGCATATCTGCGGCAGCGGCTTCTGGACTCTGTTCCACTTTTATTTTTTTGCCCACACCAGGACAATTTCATTGCCTGAACCCAATTCCTCTCTTCATTTCTCCGCCGCTATCCATTGAACAACTACCGCAATCATGGGTGGCTTCTACATGCAGTACTTGGAGAGTAAGTTGATCAATTGAACCTCTCGTGTGCTTTGTTTACTTCAACCCAATGGCTACCGACATCCCCGAAATCTCGTGTGGGGGTGGCGTATGAGATTTGGGGGGAGGGGGGGAAATAAATCGAGCCTTGCGCGCGGCCACCACGGCGACCTTGGCAGCTCAGAGGGCTGATTGAGAGGGAGCGAGCATTGTTTTCTCAATTGCTTTCTGCCGCCCAATCGAACTCTTACCGCCGTTTACAATCCCGTGAATTGGTTTGACGCAGGCACATGATTACACCCTTCCGCGGCTTGTCCCCCCTCTCTTGCTCAATCGTACCGCTGGTTCATGCAGGGATCCTTCAGGCTGCAAGAAGCCGGTCGAATGAGGTGTCTACAGCAGCATGTTTCTGGCGAGTTGCCGTGATCTATGTTTTCTGCCGCATCTTACATTGCCTTGGCAGCTAATGGCTGTGATTTTTTGTCTCTCTTTTTTTCGTCTTTTTCAAAACTTTTGAGTAGGTGGAAAGACTAACCGATGGGTGTAATTGATAGGCCTTTGCCGGCGCCGAGGATGGACAGACCCCTCGTACGAGTGTTACCGTGACCCCAATGGCTTTACTTGCCTTGTCCTAGTCAACGGACGCGAGTACCAGACCGACCTGGCATACGAGTCCGACCTGTTGGCTCAAGAGAACGCTGCCATGCGTGCGTTCATGGTTTGCCGCAACTTTTCCGTCAACGGCGGCATGCTTGCTCGCAACGGTATTGTCCAGGGACTTCCAGCCAATGCTGATACCCGACGCAAGAGCCGCCCTACATCGTCCAGGGACAGCAATGAACGTCACGGCCGCCGCTCCGGCACTCACTCGAGCAGCAGTTCTACTGCTTCATTTGAATAAGCCAGACGCTGATCCCTGGAACGGATTCGGAGTTTTTTAAGGTGGTGATTTACTTTACCCGCATTGTTTTTCATATTTCCCCCTTGGTTTTGGCTTGGACCTTCACAGGCAGCCAATGGCGCACATATACACGTGGTTGAAAGGCTTCACGGCAGTCCCTTTGAGGATATAACCACCATCGCGCCAACCTTGCTTTATCCATTTCATGGCGGCTATTATTTTCCTTTCCACAAACAAAAAAGAAGGGTTGAACAAGCGAGGAGTCCAAAAAAAAGAAGAAGAAAAAGGTACGGAAAAAAGCGCGTACAAAAAGACTTGGCGATAAAGTGGCATTCTTGTGGATGCAAATGTTGCAACGACTTTTATGACGACACGAAACGACCTTTAGACACGTCTCATATTTCTTTCGGCGGCCGGCATACCCGGTTTGGTCCTTTTGTTATCAACCTAGATGTTGACTTTATTTTTTTCCTCAGCAATGTGTTTAGATTTTAGACGCATTGCATTCATGACATTGATGCTCACCTCAACACCTTGCCGCTCGTCTCAATCGATGAGCCAATCTTCTGGGCGTGTTGGCCTACTGATGTTTGGCAAGGAACAAAAGTACATTTCTTCATTACTATCTCTCGGAAGCGGGGTTTTTACAGGCTAAACAGCCTGGCTTGGGCGGTTCTTGATACTGTTTGATGACATACCTGTCCATCCTTTACTTACAGGGCATTGAAAGCCCTCGATCACTCAACACAGAGGCCAAGTGTTTCTTTATCTTGCCTCGAGTTTTATGAATGTTTCTTGCGATAAGACAAAGTACCTCGTTTTGCACAGGGGCAGTCGTGCCTTTCGCAAGGACGGCTCCTTGACTTTCCTTTTAAGGCGTCTCGCAGCAAGCGAAGCGGGCAATGCCTTTTTGGTTTTCTATTATATCTCTTCATTTTTTATGATTTTCGCTGTAATTGCCCCTTTTTTGAGGCAATTGGGGGAGCCAATGCTGGCAGGACGGAATGTTCTCCCTTTATGATGTCAAGACGCAGATGAAAGCGAAAACGAAGAGAAGGATGAGATGAATTGATTGGATGATACGAAGCAATGACGGATCCGAATGCAGGTTTGGAAAAAAAAAAAATGGTGAACAGAAAAAAAAAGAGTTTACGGTTACGATGACATGAAGATGATGACTATTATGTTTCATTTTTTTTGAGATATTTGTCTTGGATGGTGGTGTGTTGCGATGCGAGATGTGATGTAGATTTGGAGAATCGTGAATATATGTGAACATTGACAATACTTGATTGGTTCGTTCATGATTGCTACTAAGGCGATATATAATTCCTCTGATGGAAGATGTTATCTGTTGCAGAAGGTGTTAATGGAGATGTTCTCTTCATGGTGAGAACCAAGATCCATGGTTGCTACTAAGGCGATAGACAACTCATCTAATAGAAGATGTTATCTGTGGCAGAAGGCGTTATTGGAGATTGTCTCTTGGTGGTGAGAACTAAGATGACTTGGTGAGAGATTTATGGTGTATCGTGGCATGCATGTCCATGCCAAGACAAACCCGGTAACCCCCAAATGACGATCATCATACATGGCGACCAGCTCTAAAACCGGGCCCAACCTTAAGAAGAGTTGAAGATTTCTCTGCATTTGCAGCACCACAGGACAAGAGCCAGCTTCCCCAAGAAAGAGGTTGACCATTGAGCCGGCCTAGTTAGCCACACATACGTAATGTGGCACAAGATAGCTCCAGGAACAGAAACGACTAGGCCTAGGATGCGGTTGATGAAGCCACCCAAAGAAAAAAAAAACGATCCTAAATTCATCTAGCGGCCAGGGGTCTTTGTAGGATTTGCAAGGCTTCAACTAGGCTGAAAAGGCAAACCTCCACATGAAATGGGGGTTATACAAAAAAACGAGAGCGATAAATTAGAATCCTTGTCGATAGGGGAGATGAAACACGGGATGGGATGGGCTTTTCTTTTTTTCTGGGTTTTATATTTTGTTTTGTCTCGTTTCGGGTTGAGGTTGTTGTGGTCTGTGAGATTAGCGAAGGGTGTTGTACGAGTAATTAGGTGTGGGATGGAGTCTTTTGATGATGTGATGCGGTACGATTCGATACGATGGGATGGGGGCTGTGTATGTACTGTAGACTCATTGTAGAGTGTTATAGTGGATGGAGCTTATATTGGAGCTTATGAGAGCTGTGTTGATTGCATTTCATGAGAAATAATGGGAAGAAGGAGAAAAGTAGCAATAATAGAGAATCATAATGTCATATTTGAGTCGATGAGATTATGTGTACAACGTTGCAGGGCTGAGGCCACGGTCGGATGTAATTAACACGAACCCGACGTCAGGAGAGCGATGGATGCGTGCTTTTACAGTAAAAGGACCAGATGAAATAGGGGGCAAATCACGGTGCTGACCGGCCGGTTTAAGTGGCGCCACGAATGGAAATGAACGAGGCAGTCGCCGGGCTGACGGGTCCGTGTTATTTGTTCCTGGTGAGCGATTATACGATATAATATTGGATGGGAATGAAGTAAGTACGGAGTACTCGTAGATGAAAAAAATGAATTCGATAGACTTCAATGGTTTCTTTTTGGCTGTTTGCGTTCGTTGGCGGGTTTGAGACTATTGGGATGTTGGCGTGATGGGGGTTTCGCCGAATGCGGGCTGTATCTTGGAGTTATTTACATCGCATGAATCGCCGGGACACGATGTGATGCGATACGGGCTCTGATGGACGAGGTCGTATTGCTGCGTGCGCACGATTGCAGCCCTGAGGTGATTGTTTGCAGGGCTCTGTGTATGCAGAATCTGTACGGATACGAGTATGGGATTTCATGTGAGACAAGAGATGCGAAATGTCTCACTTAATCGTTGGCACTTATACGCAAGGTACCTCATCGATCTGTTAGTTTATCTACAACCTATACAAGCATCTTATAAGCAGTGATGACACGAGACAATTTTAGATGAGCAGCGTGATAAAAAGGTATCAATATTATACGAAGTATCAAAAACAACTGATTGCATGATGATACGGAGCTTTACGGGTGTTGTGCAGGTTCACGGGCCGCCCAAATTTCGCCTCCAGCTTTTCCCAAGCCGCGTGGGAAATTTTTCATGCTCAGGCCTGTCGAGCTGATTGGCCGCGCTGTCTTTGGGTCTTTGGGGGACCCCTGGACCGAGTGATCACAGGCCCCCGCACTGCCTCGTCCTGATGCTTCGTGTTCAATCTCTATGTGGTCCAGTTCCATTCGATAATTTACAGCACTCTGGACTAGCAACTAGTAAGGCAGAGCTCAGCAGCTGTCACGCCAATAGGCTGGGAATGGGAATGGGAAACGGGGGCTCTAGCCGTGCCAATTGGTGATTTGATTTGCTGGGAGCTGAAGAGGCGCTTTCAGGGGACGCCGGGCCCTGTACGAGTTGAGATGCCGCTAAGCCCAGCGCGTGAAATTAGTCGGTACGAACGCATTGCATTGCTTCTCCGGAGCGGCAGTACTTGGAGCTCCGTGCTAATCTGTGTACTGGCTTCGTGACATCTGGACACCTTGAGCCCAGCCCAAATAGATGGCAATTTCCTCTCTCCTTTTCCCTCCCATCCTCCCGCAAAAACACCACAGCCTTTTCACTTTTTGCCTCTTGAGTCGACTTTGATTCTCTGCTTTGCGAGCATTGATTGTCGCTCGTTCTTTTCTACGCTCACTACCAAAATATACTAGTTGCCCTACTTCTTTACTCCTCTTCTTTAAACCCCCCCTTTTTCTTAAACCTGCACATCAAGCATCGTCGCAGACATTCACCATGAAGGGTATGACGCGCCTCTCAACCACCATCCAAACCGGTGCTCCAATCCAATGGCAAGGCTAACATTCTCCCCTGCGCAGGACTTATTCTTGTCGGTGGCTTTGGCACTCGCCTTCGCCCTCTCGTACGTTCCACGCCAGCGATCCGACCTGCATCCCACCACCGCATTGAACGCGAATGGGGGGAGGGATGGAGGGGGAACCGCCAAAACCGCAGCTTCACCACACCCCAGAGACTGACCATTGTGCGACGCCATCTAGACCCTGACGCTCCCCAAGCCTCTCGTTGAGTTCTGCAACAAGCCCATGATTGTGCATCAGATCGAGGCTCTCGTCGCCGCTGGCGTTACCGACATTGTCCTCGCCGTCAACTACCGCCCAGAGATTATGGAAAAGTTCCTGGCTGAGGTGAGTCCTGCACATGACCCCTCACTGCAACCCTTGCCTGGTTTTTTTTGCCTATTTGTTGCACCAACAAGCTTTTGCCCCCCAGCTGAGCTTCCCCTCCAATGACGTTGAGCATGAAGCTGATTGCGTACGCCCCATCATTAGTACGAGGCGAAATACAACATCAACATTGAGTTTTCTGTCGAGTCCGAGCCCCTCGACACTGGCGGTCCCCTCAAGCTTGCTGAGGGCATCCTCGCCAAGGACGACTCCCCCTTCTTCGTCCTCAACTCCGACGTCATCTGCGACTATCCCTTCAAGGAGCTCCTCGAGTTCCACAAGAGCCACGGCGATGAGGGTACCATTGTGGTCACCAAGGTGGAGGAGCCGTCCAAGTACGGTGTCGTTGTCCACAAGCCCAACCACCCATCTCGCATCGACCGCTTCGTCGAGAAGCCCGTCGAGTTCGTCGGCAACCGTATCAACGCCGGCATGTACATCTTCAACACCTCCGTCCTGAAGCGCATCGAGCTTCGCCCCACATCCATCGAGAAGGAGACCTTCCCCGCCATGGTTGCCGACAACCAGCTGCACTCTTTCGACCTCGAGGGCTTCTGGATGGACGTTGGTCAGCCCAAGGACTTCCTTAGCGGCACCTGCCTGTACCTGTCCTCTCTTACCAAGAAGGGCAGCAAGGAGCTCACTCCTCCCACCGAGTCCTACGTCCACGGTGGCAACGTCCTGATTCACCCCTCTGCCAAGATCGGAAAGAACTGCAGAATAGGCCCCAACGTCACCATTGGCCCAGACGTCGTCGTCGGTGACGGTGTTCGTCTGCAGCGTTGTGTCCTCTTGAGCGCCTCCAAGGTCAAGGACCACGCATGGGTCAAGTCGACGATTGTTGGCTGGAACAGCACCGTCGGCCGCTGGGCCCGTCTGGAGAACGTGACTGTTCTCGGTGACGATGTTACCATTGGCGACGAGATCTACGTCAACGGTGGTAGCGTTCTGCCTCACAAGTCCATCAAGGCCAACGTGGACGTTCCCGCCATTATCATGTGATTTAATTCATTTGATCATGTCTTCTCTCGGCTCGCATGTTATAACCATGCGTTGCTTTTCACATTGATTCTTTCATGTTGATTCATGCTTTTTTAAACAACTTCTTCACTTCTATTTTTTTGATCTTTTTTTTCTTGGCCCATTTACGCCCCCATACATTCACCACTCCTCCAACATTTCTCAAAAGATACCCTGACGGTGGGGGGAAACAGTCTTTGAGAGAAAACCAACAAGCAACATTTTATATAATTACTACTACTAGTCCCGGCATCTCTTGCTTTTTTTTTTTTGCAAGATGTCTGCGCGTTATGTTGAGCTCCAAGTAAATCGTTTGGCGTCTCGGGGAACCGGTTGGCAAAGCATCTTGGAGGGACACGAAAGGGGGGAAAGGGGCGGTGGTTGAGAAGAGCTATGACGGACGAGGAACTGAAAATTTTACATGTATGAAAAGATGATAGCGTAGCGAATGAAGTGAATTTACGCTTAACATTTTCTCATAAGATGTGTTTTGTATTTAGTGATGCCAGAGATGAACGAGTATATCCCAAGAACCCCAAAAAGCAGATGGTGAGGCTATATCCAACACAGATATGCACCTATTATAGATCCAGGGCAAGAAGTGCATGTATCACTTAATATACTAAATATTAGAGCTGTTTATTAGAATTGCTTTTGCTCTCTGATTTTCTACAAGGTACCAGACTTTTATTGGTGGTTCCATCTTTTGCTCGGCATCGAATTCACTTCCTCCCATGACGCAATGCCAACCAAGTGATCAAGGCAGGAGCGCAATCGATGCCTTATCTCCCAGGCAAAGCCCATACAAAAGGGCAGCTGCCCAGCAGGTCTTTCTCCTTCTGCAACGCTCGTTTATCTGAAAGACACAAAATTCAGATTCAAGTCGAAGAGGGAGAAAATGTAGGGCTTTTCCCCTTCCTCTTCTTCTTCTACTCTCTCTTTCTTTTGTCTGCCTCTCTGTGTCTTTCTCTGTGCCAGCGCCGTTTCGAATGTTCTCACGCGTTTTCTAAGCGCCTCCTGTGTTTGTCCTTGTGCAATTCTGAGCCCTGATTTTTCTGTTCTGAGCCCTGGTATTTCTCTTCTGATTCTCGGCCTCTACGCGTCTACTTTTGTTGAAGCTGTGTGCCTCTCTTGTTTCTGCTGTCTCACCGGTGTCCTCGTCATCGAAAAAGTCGTTTTCTCGGCAAACTCTCCATTCTCTTGAGTTGATCCTCGGGTTTCTGTCCCACCCTCCATCACCATGGCGGATGCACCGATGTACGATCCAAGGTGAGTTGATTCGAGCACTGATGCTGGAACGAAACTCCATGACTGACATATATCAGCAAACTATCTGAATATCCCGTCCCTGTTCCGCATGTCAACTATTCTGCTCCCGGAGTTGTGGTTTCCCTACCTCCTGACGTTGACATCTCTGTTGTCATCGTTGGCAAAAAGCGTCCACGCGAGGAGTCGGACTCGAATGATGCGGCAGAGCCTGATTCGAAGCGCCCTGCGATTTCTCTGGGGCTGGGTGATGCGAACTCCCAAGACATTGACATGAGTGCGATTGTGAGCCGATTCGAATTTTTGTAATGAATCTGCATTTTCATCTTACTGACGCAAACAAACAGAACATCTGTCTTTCTCCCCCCGGAAATTTCTGTTCGACTTCTCCAGGCAAATTCCACGTGGTTGACCCCCCCTCGCCGGATGAATGGCGCCCGGATGATGACCACATCTGGAGGGCTTTGCATTGGTCGACTGTAGAAGATCATATCAAGGATTCCCTCCGTAAAGAGACAGGAGGATCATATTGGTATCGAATGTCATCATCTGACCAACAGGGATCTAATGAGAAGCTCATCCAAGATATCAGACTTGATCCTCGCACTACATTTTTTCACATTCGTGAGATGATAAATGCGAGGAACAGGAGTTCTTACGGTTCGAAGGAAGTTGTGCTGTTTGCACGAGTCGTTCACACTGGCTGTGGCGGTTTCGATCACAAGAGCTTCCAATGTTTCAAGTTGGAAGATTTATTTGGCGGGAAACCCCATATCAGCGGCATTATGATGTTCAAGGATAAGGAAAGTCCCATCTACTGCGAATCCAGCCCCTTCCTCGCGGCGCCAAAGACCGAAGACAAATGCTACTGCCTATGCGAACTCGTAGAGGACGAAAATGCGTTGCTTCGCCGGTCTCTCTACATTTACGATATTCAGCCTGTCTCATGGGAGACCATTCGGAGCGTCCACGCCAATTTGGGCAAACAGGGTTTAGAATGATTTGGTACGACATTAAGCAGACGGTCAATGGATGACAATATAGTGGAGACTTTATACCTTGGGTTGCCGAGTTGCAGCTAGATTTCAATGTCTATTCTTCTCAAAGACTATCGGTGTTCTATTCATCATGTTACGATTTTCTATGTGGTGCCTTCTAAAACAACACTTTCTATAGTGTAATACCAGGCTTCCATTAATCTCTTACCCAGTCCCTTTCTTTTATCAAAAATTACTCTCTCGCTCCGAGGTTTCTGTCTGTCATATTGGATGACTGTACCTTGTGCCCTCTACAGTCTACAGTCTCTCATCTGGGGATGCGCTATACAGGACTCTATATGTGATTTTTCATCTTGAAAAAAGGCAAGAGTTCCCGCTCCATCATCTGGCGCAGCTCACGCTGTTCCTCTGCGGTAGGAACCTTCAAGGTGCCATGTCGCCGACGCCAGCTCTCGTCAGTCTCGCGTATCTCGGCATCAGGATCCTGGCCTGTGGAATCAACAAACTGAAAGGTGCGGTACTCGCAATTCTTCCAGCTTGTGGCTATATTCGTGCTGACGTCAGTTGACAATGATTCTCATCATCTTTTTCCTCTTTCTATCATCCTTCAAAGCAAAGAGGGGTTGCATCTTACGATATGTGTTGGTAATTCCGTGCCACTCCTCCGTCAAGAAGTGCAGAAACGCTCCGTGAGAAACAACAGCAATGTGCGCATCGTCTCCCAAGCCGGTGGCAATCTCCCTCAGCGTTTTTCTCGCCTCTCTCGCCCTCACCGCCAGCTTATCAAGCGCGGGCTCGAAATCGCTCCCCTCACCCTTAAAGTTCCAGCCCTCGCGCATTCGACTCAGATCAGCCTTTTCGCCAAACTCAGCCGCCAGCTTCTCAATTGACGAACCTGTATCTGAGGGAGCGTCAGAGCACTCCTGGAGGGTGTCGAGCGCAATCACGGGGCCGAGCGAGTCGGTGCCAAAGGACTGGAGGCAGGTGTACAGCGTGCGGCGCATGCCCGAGGCGACCAGGCCGCGGAGCTTGGCGTGGTGAGGGAATGTGCTGCGTAGATGGTTGCATTGCTCGTTGCCGAGGGGCGTGAGGTCTGGGTCTGGGAGTTTTTCGTTTTCGGCGCAGAGGTTGTGGTAGCCTTGGGCGTGGCGCACGAGATGGATCGTGGGAGCCATTGTTTTTGTATGTGGTTTTTGTTCTTTGGTGTATATGAGAGATATATGTGTGCTGGATGACTTTCCCAAAACACGAAGCAACGAAAGTCGAATTGATCAAACTATGAGTCTATGAAAAATAAAAAGAAAGAAAGAAAGTCAAGTACATCAAATTACGAGAATGAAGAAATAAGGGCCCAACGACAAACACGCCGTCCTACAACAGCCAAGAACGAAGAACGTAATACTCGGCTCACCTACCACATTAAGCAATCCCGCCCAAAACCTCACTCCGAATGACTCAAAAAAAAAAAAAGTCTTGGGGAACCACAGCGGAGAGGGTCGCCCGGCTCCGAAGGGGGGAGGCGAAAACAGTAAAAAACAAGGCCCCATCTTTTACCTCCGGCTCCGGCGATGGGCAAAGCGGGTGGGAAGCAGATATCCATAAGGAAGCAAACTATACATAAGGCAGCAGGACACGCCCCCAGCCATATGAGTACAAAATTACTTAGAAAGGTTCCTCACATGAGATACGTCAACCTCCGGCCCGACGACCGGTCACTCAAAAAACGTCCACCGGGGAATGAAAAAGCTCGAATATACGAGTACATTACCTAGTTGAGCCGTAGATGCGGCTCGTGCCAGGATACGGGTGATCCAATTGGTGCCTGTGGCGTGCTTAGTTTCCTGTGGCTGACTGCGGTTTAGTGTGAAGCCCCCCGTGTATCCCGTGTATGGATGAGTGGATAGAAGAGACGATGCTTGGATGGCTTTCTTTAGGGGCGCTGAGCGGTCTGGTTTGCCATTGTTGCATTGATGATCATGCAGCATGATATAACTACATGTACCTCGGAGCTCCGAGAGGCTTCTCACATACAAAAGACACGCGACTGCGCTCAAAACGTCCTCAAGATGCGATCCAATGTGCTTCAAAAGAAAACATCCCCATGTTTACATTTCGAAGGAAAGATGAAAAAAAGGTCATTCTGACAGGCTACGGAACATCCATGTTACATCACCTGCTGTCCAGTCCTCGTATAACGCCGCGTCGCAGTATAAAACTCCCCTTTCTGTCATTTTTAACCCGCCTCTCATGACAATTGCCGCCATTATTTCCCCCAGTTCAAATTAGATAACAAGAATCAAAACTCAATGAGTGCTTCCTCCTTAATCGGTTGCTGCTGTTGAACGGGCTCATGTTGTGGTGCCGCGGGCATTGAGTACTGGGAATAGCCAGCCCACTCAGGAGGAGGGGCAGGTGGCTGCTGCTGCTGTTGCTGTGGCATCTGATAAGGTGATCCTTGCGGCAGTTCCTGCTGGAAGGGCTGCTGAGTCGGAGCAGACGGGGCCTGAGAATGGATAGGCATGTGAGGCGTTGCGTTGGGGGGTTGTGCGAGTTGAGCTGGAGTCTGTAGAGGAGTTGCTTGCGTCTGTGCCGACACTGAGCCTCTATGGTACGGCATAGGTGATTGGTTCAGGTTGGGATACGGCGATTGGCTTGCGTCTGGCGCGGACCCGGGGGCGGATGGTCCGGTAGGAACGGCCTGTAGAGGTTGAGGGGTGTTGAAGTAGTATGAAGCATTGGGATCTGCTGAAGGCGACGTAGCCGTTTGATGTGAGTACTGTCTTCGATCTTCCGGGTTTTCCTGCGGCTGCGGCTGCTGTTGCTGCTGAAACTGCTCAGGGGCTGATGGGGTCTGGTTGTTCCAGCCATCGGCCGTCTGCAGCTGCTGTTGAGGCGCATAAGGTCCAGAAGGGGCATCGGGTGCTGGCATGCCAGCGTAAGGCGGATAAGGGGACTGCGGCATCGCATGTTGAGGAGGCATTTGATACAGTTGCTGCTGGCCTTGTGACGAATAGCCCGGCTGCTGCTGGTTTGTGTAGAAGCTTTCGGCACCTACAGAGTTGCTCGGAGCGTGAGAAGGTATTGAAGGGTAGGGTCCGGAAGATTGGCGAGGGGGTGGCAGGTTATACCCGCCAAGGTTCTGCTGGCTATAAGCCTTTGATAACCGGTCTTCCAACATCCGGTCATAATATCTAACAACTGTGGACAGCTTGGCATGAAGGTCGAGGAGGGTATCTATTCGTATTGTTAGCCATCGAAGTCATGAGGTAAGATGCCGGGAATCATTACCATGCTTGCTCATCGTTTCGCCGTATGTTCGTGCAAGCTTGGGACGCAGCGACCCAATGCTATCATACAACTCCTGAATTTGCGGTTCTCGCAGGATAGTGCCAGGAGGCTGGGTCTGGAGCCGGTCAACCAAGGTGGCAAAGAGATTGATGTTCTCAGCTTCCACTGCCGTCAGTTCGTAGTCGTTCTTTGGCAGCGTGAAAGTGGTGGAGGAGGTGGCGGGTCCTGAGGTCTGTTCCTTGAGCGCAGCAGCATGTCTCTGCTTCTGCTCTTCCATATCTGCTAGGGAGGCAGCAATGGCAGCTTTTAGGTCGTCGTCTTCCTCTTCAGCTTGCTTAGTGGCTGATGCGTCTCCTCCACTCGTGCGAGGTCCGTTGGTTGTCACAGGGGGGGGCCTGCCTCTGGATGCATTGTTGACTTCTTCCAAACTCATCGCCAATGCCCTTTTAAGATCTTCATCAAACCCTTCGTCGACGCGCGCGTTTCGGGGTTGCATGGCAGATGTGCTCCGAGTTTTATGAGGGTACGTCGGTGTGCGGTCGAGGGATGGATTTGGTTCTTTGAACCCCTTGTTCGTGAGCTTAGCATAACACCCATCGTCGACTCGCACAGGAGTAAGTATCCCGAGATGAGGCAGTGGGAGGGATTTGCTTGAACACTGCTGGTCAAAGCAGTTTCCGCAGTTTCGGCAATGGTGTTTTCGGTTGGTAAACGTGAAAGCTGTTCGACATCGCATGCAAACATCCGAATCAATCCATTCGGGCGGCTATTTGGCCTTCCGTTAGCTGACAACCCTAGAGACATCGTGCCTGAAGTGCCGATGGGCTTCTTACCGCGCTGCTGTCAATCATGCTGCTCGCCACCGTGACTCGCGGGGGGAACTGATACCCCTCTCGCTGCAAACGTTTGTAGACTTCGCCGATATAGGAAAGCTCGTATCGTCCTTCTGTGGCACCGGCCCATGACTGGATCAGCTCGAGCATCTTGGATTTCACTTCGGCGTTGACGGCGACGGGACCGACGGCTTGGAGAAGAGAGGTCAGGTTGTCCATGAACTCGCGGGAGGCGATTTCCGTGAGGAAATGAGACCCGCCATTCTTGACGCATGTATCCGTAAGCTAGAGATGGAGAGCGGTGTTAGATTAGGGTCCAACTCAAACTCAGCGGAGGAGATGGTAGAACAGGGCATGTCGGATAGCATACGTTGAGGGCGCTGAGCTGAGTGTTTGGGTTCTTGTTGCCGATGCGCCGCTTCAGCGACCGCATGGCCTCTTTGGGCGCCACCGTCTTGGACCTGATGACATCGGAGATCTCGAGGTTGAGCGCAATATCCTCCCTACACACCCCGTCGTTAGTCCAGCTTCGTTACGGGAGCGGCTGGGGATCAGCATACAGGCTGCTGCTCGTGGCCTTTTCGACCTGCTCGTCGAGAGCCGTGTTGGCCGAGTTTGACCACCAGCTCATCATGTTGACGGCGGCGATGGGAAGCTTGGCGTCACAGGGGAGGAGGAACAAGGGGAGATCGGAAACAGAGATGCGACGCTGAAAAGAAGAAGAAGAAGAAGAAGAAGAGCTCGGGGATGGCGATGGTGATGGAGCTGAGCTGAAGGTGAGGCTATGAGGTCCAGGTCCAGTCCGTCCTAGCCAAGTCCAAGGTACTTTCGGCTCCGCTGACGACGCCGTTCAGTTGCGTCACGGCCGCGGAGGCACCAGCCGGAACAGTGGTTAATCCGCTACAGGCGCCGAGGCAGGCCTAAGCCAAGCCGTTCCTGTGCCTGTAATAACTGTAATTACACTTTGTGCAGAGGATGAACAGCACTGTCGGGACAATATGGATTGATTGATCAACTGCATGCGCTTTCTGCAGGTACGTGCTGGAATTATGGAGTCACTATGTTCCCCTTGTTCTTTGTCTCGGGCTCTCTTTGAGGCTTCTTTGTCCCTACAAGCATCGGCATGCCACGGACCACAGTGACATCCACAGTCGGCTATCGGTGTTTCTACCGTCATCTGTCTTGAGCCTTGACTACCACTGACTTTGCCAGGCAGAAATCCGCTCCTCATGAGTTATTATGCCTCGTCTTAGAGCGGCAAGAGCCGAACATTGCACGCAGTTCTACTTTCTCAGTTGCTGGTTTTGTGGGAGGTATCGAAGGTATTACTAGAGCTCAAATTGCCTACCAGCATAGCTTGTATACCTAAGATCTCTTATGCATCAAACATAGTGAATAAACAGATGGCTACTAAGGTTCATGTGAAATTCCTATTCCTGTGGTAGTGTTGAACGGTGCATTCTGCTTCACTAATAGTGAGTGAACCGTGCTGCGATGACGTAGCGCGGCGAGATGTCAAATAGCCCACTTGGACAAGTCATGAGCATGGAACAGAGCTTCTAAATAAGGTATCGTGGCGGTGAGAGGCAAATTGAACACGGCGACACCGGCATGCGGTTGAACAATGTAGCTCAAATAAAGGAAACAAAAGAATGAGTAAGTGAAAGAGTTTTGATATATCACAAGTCTATGCACTTATATGGTCGTGGTATGTGTTGTGTCAGTGCTTCTTCGAGTATCAGGAATCAAAAGTTGAAAGCGCGTCAGCCAAGCCAATGACGACGCCCGGTTGTGGCTGATGCGTGTGCAATTTGACAGCGCCGTCTCGAGGTACTTAATGACAGTTGCGGCATAGGCTGGAGGTGCTTCTTAGTACAAAAGCTCATGTGGGGGCTACTTGTAACTCTGCTTCTTTAGGGTGAGACATCAAGTACAGAAATGAAACCAAATGTACTTTATACCCCACGTACGTATGCTAATCCGCCCACGCTTGTACCCTGTGTAGCCGTGCTGGTAATTAGAGGCCTAGAAAGTGGTGCAGCCCCCAATAGGCCAAGTCCCCAAACCGAGTCGCCAAAGCAGCTGACCACTCTATCGCCTTTTGTTGACAGCTTCACTTCTCCATTCCCACGCACAAGACCAGGCCGGTCCGTCCTTTGGCCTGCGTACCTCCGATTCCCGCCTTTTCACAAAGAACGACGCTCGAAATCCCGACTTTGAACCCCCCAGCCATACGAGAATGCTTTGTGCTGCCACAGCCCCTCCTCAGGGCCCCCGAAAGCCACTGTCATAGGAAGCACGTCTTTGTCCCGTCTCTCAATGCTTGTCTCCCTGAGATGAACAGACCAGACCTCGTATTAGATCCGATCCGTGCGCCCCATTGACGCCTGTTCATTCCACGCAACCGGCGATATCACCTCTGAGGCGCCGCACAGCCAACGACGCTGGGCGCCAACCACTACCGATCTCATATCCAACCTCTCCCGACATCGATGACAACGGCAGACCCTATTGATAGCGCGAGGCACCACATGGCCGTGAATGCCAGGCACAGCATGCCGCCTTCGGGCTACGATGGCATGAATGGCGGCTATGTCCCTCCCCCAGGCGCAACTGCGCCGCTTCCTCACATCGAGGATATGGTGGCCTTTCCCCAGGATATCAACCGAAACCAAACGATGAAGTATCTGCTCGAGCAGGCTGAAACAACGCTGGCAAAGTCTGAAATGGGCCGTGAATTTGGGAAACCTGCCCTTGCCTTCAGAGACTACGTCAAAGCCTCGGTCATTGCCGTGCAAATCATTCCCTCTCACCGTGAATATGTAGAATTAAAAAGCCGTCGCGACGACTGGAATCGAAGGCACCAGACTCTCTTGAAAAAGATATCTCAACAAAGTGAAATATACGAACAAATCAAGCGGGATATCATTGCAGATAATGAGAGGACTGGCGTACGACCAACCGCTCCCGCCTCGACTCAGCAAAAAGCCGCCGCAAATACCATATTATCACAGACCTCCTCGATTCTAGATGCGAGTCCAGAAACACGACAACCTGTCAATGGACAGCAACCCGAGGCTCGTACGAACGGCTCACCGGGGAAGGTCAAGCCTACTGTGCACCCCAAGCCTCAATCTTTAGCTGGCCATGCCATCAAGACCGGGCATACCCGGGCCGCCTCCGCTGCCTCCGCCATCTCCTCGACTCAAGCCATGTCGGATCTTGCCGCACGATTTGCCAACCTACGAGGCCCTCAGCCTTCTCCGGGGCAAGATCCTCGCATCAAGACTCACCAGATTGTCCCGCCGCCAAGCAGACCTGCCGGGCCCCGAGATATGCCACCGCCGCGCCCTAAAATATCATTAGATAGCGCAATCCCGGCACTGCCAAAGATGCCTGATGCGATTTACAGTCCTGCGCGAGGTAGCATATCTGGAGAGTCCGCTCGTCTTCCACCTAGCACGCCACGAGGTCCTTACAGCCGTGCCGGGTCAATTGTATCCATTGGCAGCGCGACAACCACTCCTTTACCGCAGCAGCAGCAGAGCAATGACTATTTTTCAGCCCAATCACAAAGCTCTTCTAGAAACGGAAACATTGATACTCCATACCCCCCAGAGAGTGGTTTCAAGATTCCGGAAGGGGATAGAATTACACCTGAAGAGCTCTTTGAAGCCATGAAAGCAAAGGGTTCTATTTTAATCATAGACGTCCGTGCTCGCGAGGACTTTGATGAGGGCCACATCATGTCCTCCTCCACAATATGCATTGACCCCAGTATACTTTCCAGGCCGAATATTTCTGCCGATGAAATAGCTGAGAGCCTGGTCCTATCCCCAAATCAGGAGCAGATTCAGTTCGAAAGACGAGCCAGTTACGATTTGGTGGTATTCTATGACCAGTACTCAGAAAAGATTCCCTCTCCTTGGAATACCGAAGAGGCAGCTCTTTTGTCTCTACATCGCGCCTTGGTACACCTCAGCTACGGACACGAGCTGCGAAATTCCCCCAAACTGCTCAAAGGCGGGTTGGACGCATGGGTCGATCTTATGGGCTCTGCTTCTCTGCAGTCGACGGCTCCGCCCAAACCCAAGAAGATTTCTTTAGTTCGACAGGGTCCATTCCAGCGTCGGCCGTCTCAATATCTGGGGAAGCCACTGAGACCGGACATTGTCAAAGTCTGGCAACAGGCTGTAGAGATTGAAGAAAAGGAGACCGAGACGGCGACAGAGCAGGCCTTTCACCGCTCAACCGAGTCTTTCTTGCGGAGGTTTCCTTCTTTGTCTCTGCAGGAATCAATGACGTCCCCCACCATTGTTGAACAAAGGACCCCGGGCTATGGCTCGTCTCACCAGGTTGACCTCTATACCGACCTGCCTTCTCCTCCCACAAGGCCAGCTCCAGCATTACCACGATTAAGTTACAGCAGTCTATCTCAGACGGTCGAAGAACATGACATGTATGACGAACCAGCTCCGACACCACCGGCCCCGCCACCTTCTGAGAAAGTCTTTTACACCGGTCTAAACAACCCTCACAATTGGTGTTATGCAAACAGTACTCTACAGTCATTATTGGCGTCGCCCAATTTTGGGAGAGAATTGAGCAATTCGGAATGGGTTGAGAGATACTCGGCCCCAAGAAAAGACGATGAGAAGATTGATCAACCCCAGTTGATGATTAAAATAATATCAAATCTATTCCATTGGATGACGACGGGAAAGTTCAAAACCATGAAGGCTCAGACGCTAATGGTATGTCATGCTGCTTCTTCTTTCGTAACCATTCGTTCATCTCATGTGCATTGCTGACAAAATTATCTTTTAGGACTATTCCCTCCATCTTTGCCAGCACAGTCAAACCATCTCCAAGTTTGGTGGCAATGGGCAACAGGACGCTCAAGAATTCATGTCCTTTTTATTAGACTACCTCCACGATGAAACCAATTCTCGCCGGAACCTCAAAGGCAACATCCCACAGCCAAGCACGATTCCTCAAGCACGCTTACAGGCCGCTGTTGAGTATTGGAAGAATTACCAAGAACTGAATCGATCCATTGTTGATCGCTACTGGCGTGGTCTTGAGCTCTCAACAGTCGACTGCCAACGATGCCATAAGCAGACACACACATTCTCAACGTTTGACTTGGTCTTCGCGCCTGTCGGTAAGAATCAAGATATTACTCTCGAGGATTCCTTCCGAGAGCACAACGTTGTCAACACGCTCGACAACTTTGCATGCGACACGTGCAAGAGAAACACAAAGGCTATGCAAACCACCTGCTTTGCCCGTATGCCTCCCTTGCTGTGCCTGAGCTTCCGCAGGTTTGACTTTGACAAATCTGTCGGAGACATAAAGAAGTCGACGAGAAAAGTCACTTGGGACTTTAACGAGATCGACCTCACTCCGTATTTCATGCGGACAGGCGAGAATTCGAGCGACAGGGCTTTTTCGGGGCCGTTCAAGTATCAGTGCTACGCTGTTATTGTTCACAGCGGCAGCAAGACTGACAATGGGCACTATTACGCTTATGTGCGGGACTCGAGCACTCATGATCAGTATGCGTGGTACCGCTGCGAAGATAGCCAGGTCACCAAGGTGCGGATCGGCACCAACGATGCCACTGACTACAAGGAAAACGTGTTTAGATCTGGACGAGACACGGTTCCTTATCTGGCGTTTTTCAGGAGGAAAGATAGCTGAATGGAGGGGGGATGCAACGCAGCCCGCCATAGTTCTTTTCTCTTCTCCTCCATTCTACCTCTACAACGCTTTGTTAGGCATAAAAACAACCAGCGAATCATGATTACGGGGAGGGTAATAGAAGGAGAAAGAGAAGATGCGAACTTGTACATTTGTTTTTCTATTTCCCCTTCAGTGTACTTTGGCGTGCATTGTCTTACTCTTTCCCGGTGTACCTTTTCTTTTTTCTACCAATATCCATCGCGCATGTAAAGAGCCATTTCTCTGTTGTTATATTACTTGTCCAGCCTGTACGTCTGTGTATGTTTTAGCTTTTTTACTTTTCTCTCTTGTTGGTTCTTGTATGTTTTAGCACCTTAGGTTCGGTAGGCGAAAGCATGGCAATGGAGTTTTTACGTTGGAGCACGATGCTTGGCTCTTTTCCCCCATTGATAACTTATACATATACTATTGTATTGTAACTGTATTAAACCGGCTTTATTACAATAACATCGAGAAGCATAAGAGAAACAAGAAGGATTAGAGATCAAAAGTGGTATAAATGTCATTAATTAAGCCCACGCCCCAAGAGCAGTACAAGAGAGGCAAATTAAATCACGTCGTGCTACATGGCCTGAATCACAACGGCGGTATCAGGTATCATCATCATCCCACCACCTTTCTTCATTCCCATTTACACCAAGCCACACCTTTCATCACACCCATCTCTTAGCCTCTTCTCGCCATCTTCAGCACCAAAAAAATCAGGAAAAAAAAGAGATACCAAAGAATTGCGTCTGTAGAATGTTTAAGGAGCGTGCTTCAAGCACTCGTCAATCTGCTTCTTGAAAGCCTCTCGGATGACTTTCCTGTTAAGCTTCTGAGTAGCAGTGACCAAACCCTACAAGGAGAAGAACTGTCAGTATACACACACAACTCAGCCGATAGAGGATGCAAACTTACGCTGTCAGGGGTCCACTCCGCATCAGTAACAACAACGCCACCAATTGTCTCCAAACCAGTCAAGCCAGATCGCTTAGCGGTAAGCTGCAGATCCTTGAGAACTGCCGACTGAACCTTGGGGTCATGGTGCATGCTGTGCTCGTCAACACCAAGCTCCGCTGCCTTGTCAGCCAGAACCTTCTCATTGGCCATGATGATGGCAATGGGGCGGTTGTGCTCCGGATCAGCGTGGATCATGACATTAGCAACCACCTGAGAACCTCGGTAAACAGCCTCCAGCTTCTCCAGGGCAATGTACTCGCCACCCTGCATCTTCACAAGGTTCTTGACACGATCAATGACGCGCAAGTGACCGTCGGCATCGAACTCGCCAATATCACCAGTCTTGAACCAACCATCAGCGGTCAGAGCCTTGGCAGTCTCTTCTGGGTTGTTGTAGTACTCCTTCATGATGGGGAGACCCCTCATCCAAATCTCGCCCTGGGGAATCTTGGCATCGGTTGAGTATCCGATTTCGGGAATTGAAACGAGCTTCACTTCAATGGCACCAGAAACAGGGCCAATGGCGTTGGCAGTGTACTCGAGCGGGTTTCCCAGTGAGCCGTTGGCGCAGGTCTCGGTCAAGCCATAGCCAGTCAGCATAGGAGCGAGAACGAGGGACAGGAAGTGCTTCGTGCTGTCCGAAATGCCACTGGCACCGTTCATGGTGAAACGAAGCCGGCCTCCGGTCAGCTGGCGAACTTTGCTAAAGACGATGCTGTCGAAAACGCTGGCAAACGGAAGCTTGTTGCGCGACATGAAGCTCTTGTAGCTAAAGGCTCCCCAGAATAGCGACTTGAGAACGGGGCTAGAAGATTCCAGCTTCGCCATGACTCCTTTCCTGACAGTCTCCCACACCTGGGGGACACCAACCATGACGGTTGGTCGCAGTTCCCGCATGTCACCAGCGCAGTTCTTCATGGAAGTATCGGAAAGGGTCCTGGGGTTTCCGTATCCCAGGCAGCCACCAATGGACAAGACGAGGTTCTCAAGGGCCATTTCGAAGATGTGCGCAAGAGGAAGATAGGCAAGGACAACCTCTTTGTCGCTAATGGTCTGGCCGACAGAGGCGAGGAGGCCCGTAACTAATGTCAAAAGTTAGTATTGAGTCGTACCGCGATGCAACAAGGCTACATACCTCCCGCAACAAGCGCCTCGTGGGTGATGCAGGCACCCTTGGGAAGACCAGTGGAACCAGAGGTATACATGACGCAGAAGACGTCGGATGGGTTGCCAGGGCTGGGCTCAACCATGTTCTCCTCGCCGAGCTTACGGAGGTCCTCCCACGTAATGACGCGGATATCCGGGTTCTCCTTCTTGTAGGCTTCAATCTCGCCGCCAGCGGTAAAGATGCAGTCCTCGTTGACGATGACAGTCCTGACCTTTGATTTGCGGATGGGGCCAGCGGCGGTCTTGAGCAAGTGAGGGTCGATGTACATGGCATCAGCATCGGTCTGGACGAGCGAGTGCTCGACGCCGCTCTCGCCGAGGGTGTCGTAGGCAGTGACGATGGAGATGCCTTGGGAGGCACAAGCATGGGACATGGAGATCCAGTTCACACTACAAGACGAGAAAAGGATTCATTGTTAGCGAATTCCATGCCCTGAAAGCATTGGCTCCTGGAATTGCATGGCTTACCTGGTTGTGCCGAACAGATGCAGCTTGTGAGAGCCGCTGTAGCCCAGCTTGCGCAGGCCGGAACCCAGCTGCAGAACAAGAGTCTCATACTCCTTGAAGGTCAAGAAGTCAAACTTGGACAGCTCAAAGTACTGCCACTCCTTGTCCACCTCGACAACCTGACCATCAATGTTCTTGGGAACCTTCTTGGTCTCCTTGTGCAGCTCAATGAGCCTCCGGTGGCCCACGGCAAGGTGGTTGGGATACTCGCGGGCACTGCGGCGGACAATGTCGAAGACAGTGTGTACGTCATCGTGAGGAGTGGTGAGAAGGCCGTCCTTGGCTGCTGGGTGGCGACGCGGGATCGTCTCGCCAGGGACTTTTTCGTAGCCGGAAGCTTCGACGGTGAAGGGCGGCTTGCGCACCTGGGTCAAGGGCATGACGCCCACAGTCCAGTCCGTCGTCATCTTGAGGGTAGTTGGTGATTGTTTGCTGCGACGAGTGGCCTAGACGGAGGACAGAAGGGGAGGAAGAGAGGAAGAGACAGGACGCGGAGGAGATTAGAGCAGTCGAAAGGATAACTTTGCTCGTGCCGGGGGAGTTGCAGGGGGGGAGGGGGTGAGGGTCCGGCTTTTGTCTGAGCAGCGGAAGCTTCCTGTCTGACGGATCTAGAGCTATAAGCAGGAGAGGCAATGAGACACGCTTCAGAGGCAATGAGACACGCTTGACGGCGACGACGAAGCGGGAGAATTCAGAACGAAGGAGTGAGGGGAATCAAGACAGAATAGTTAAGAAATAGGAAGAAGGAAAAGGGAGTTGGGACACAGTTGGGCAATGATGCAGCGCAGTGCAGTGCAGTCCAGGCAGATGCAGGGAGAGGAGAGCGAGCAAGCTTGGAGGCAATGGAAAGGCAAAAAGCTGGAGGCCAGCGCGAGGCAAGGCTAAAGCTTAGGTTGGTACAAGTTACGTAGCCGGGACTCGCCAGGCCAGGCGGGCGACCAGGGCGGCGTACCGGTACATGTACCTGTTGCAGCCAATGCGATTGAACATTCTACTGTAATTTAGGGGAGCTCTAGCCACTGCAGGCCATCACAAACGATTGATTGCAGCGCTGCAGTCGCCCCCCCAAGGCCTAGCTCAAGGCAGCTAAGCTGCAACTTGAAGCTGCGCTACTGTGATTGCTCCAAGTCCAACCCACCGACCCCCTGCAAAAACCCGGCCCAGAGCAACTTGATTTTTGCCGGGTCTGGTGGCGTTCTGGGGGAATTTTGTTGGGTCCAGACGCTGCATGGGTTGTCTGACGCTACTGTAAGCTCAACTGCTTTGCTGGGCTGCTTTTGCTCCCGAGTTCCCCCCTCGCCGCGATTTTTATGCCGTGGGGTCCGTGACGTGAGGTATCGGTACTTGTCTTGGTGCCTGTCCTCGTACATACAAATTACTAAGGTGGTACCTGATCTTACCTTGGGAATTGAAGTCAGTTTCCGAGGTACGGATACGGCACCTTAATGTACGAGGAGGTACACGTGTAGATTCCTCCAGCCTCGTGTGCAATGCCAAGTCGATGCCCAGATTATGGGGTACTTTAAGCACCCATCATGGAGGAGCTGTTCATTGATGATGATCCAATGACAATGATGATGACATACTGCTGCTGAGGTGCAGTAGGAGGGCCAAGGTAGTGCCGTACCGTAACCGTACCTACACCAAGTGGCCCTCCATGTACCCGTACTTGGTCCCAGCTCGTCGATCTGGCACCACCTTAAATAACGTGCTGTTACTCATACAATAAAACAGCTCCCCCCAGGTCCGAAACCCGCGAACAAGGTCGAACCTCAGCATTACGAGCAATAGTGAGACTGTGTGACTGAACTGAACTGACTTGACAGCTTACAGGCACTCCAATGGAAAACATCAGCACTTCTCAGCCCATCAGCAGCGACATCCAGCATCGGGCCAACCTTGTTCTGGTGACGCAGCTCCCGAACACCCGAGATGCGGACATGCCATTCAGCCGTGTGCCGCGCCGTGCCGTTTTGCTAAACACCGAGCCTTCCAGCAAAACCTGCATCCAGACAGTAGCAGCACATACATTGTACTATTCCACTCCATCGTATTGATGCTTCGGTCATCCCCCTTTTCCTGTTCTTGCAGCCCCGAGTTCATGTGCCCGTTTTCCAGGGTAGGCATAGGCTCACATGCCCTACTCCAAAACGGATGAGAAGACTACAACCCGAACAGTCACCCAGGCAAACATACATACACCATTGCCGTCATATGACCACAGCAGCTTAAAACCTACATAGGTAGGCACCGGCATCGATGCTAACCTCAAAATACAACAATCTTTAAGCCTCGCTCCCTCTCCCCCCTTGGCGAATCTATAGTAGACCACGTTACCTTCAGCCAAGTGGGCTGAGTGCCTTGGCGAGAGAATAGAGCCAACCAACTAAAAAAGCTCGCCACGGTGCATGTCGAGGCTCATGATCGCTCTCTAGACTCCAGGGATTAGTAAACGCCACCTAAACTCCAACTTCCAATTGATAGGCGCCTTGTCTCGTTGCCCTCTCGATTTCTCGAATTCAGAGAGAGAGAGTAAAGACCGTATTGCGAGATTTGTAGAACCACAGCGAGTATTTTTCAAAACAAAAGGGCCCTCATCGGAAATTACCTCTTCAGCAGAATACACCCAACCATGTCGGTTCATGCATGGCGTCCACCCTCTAATAAAAAAATCCATACGAAAATACTACTCTGCAAAAGAAAAAAACCAACTACAGTACTAGATGCCGAGGCGAAAATCATTCAGCTGAAATCTTTTTGATGCTTCAGCCGAGCTTCGTTAAACAAACTTATATTTGCCATGTGCGCTGTCTCTCATGCATAATCATAATCACATCGCCCATCTGAATACCCTGCATTTCTTTCTACTGCAAAGCGACATCACCAGTCCGAACGATACACTGGGATTTCATAAATCAGCGCACTAATGTTCCTCATTATACTAATAATTCATCTGTTGAAAGCTTTACTATAGTAATACTGTTTCCCTCTCTCCCAAACGCCAGAATCCTACCGAGGCCATTCCTCCAAAGCCCTTCACATTGGAAAGTCGAGGACACGTCGGGCATAACCCTCTCCGCATGTACAGTATCAATGCATCTATTCAAAGCATGAGGAACCTAGTGGCGGCGTCCCCCCATTCACCGTCGAACGCTTGATATCATCGAAGAAAAGAAAAATTGAACAAGAGTTGGTTTATAATCCAGCCAGAAAAGGGTAAAAAAGAACATGCTCCATGGGCAAAGGCGCCCTTTCAAAAAATCTAGCGCTGTGGCCTGGACCACTAAGCAAGCTGCAGCGGTTCAGTCTTCTCACACGTAAATAAGTTAATGTGGTGATCGCCTCGTGCCGCGCACCCAAGAATCGGGTGATGCGGGTGGAATGCTGTCGCAGAAATGGGAGACCCCCGGTTCTGTTGCAGGAAACTTGAGTATGGCTCGAGTCGAGAAAGCTCGTTGCCGTTCAGGTTAAACACTTTGACCACATGCGCAGAGGTGCCCCTATAGACAATCGCGTTAGCTACGATTTACTGCTTGGGAGTCAGGTACGTGAGGAGGCCCAAAACTTACACTGAGAATACTGGCAAATGCTCGTGAACGCTTGCCGTCCGCAGAGTGTCCCGAGTGGTCTGGAAGGAATGCAAGGCCTTGTCCATGCGAATATCCCACACCTTGACTTTGCCGTTGCGGCTGGCGCTCACTAACTCTCGCTTTCCTCCACGCTGCATGTGCACGCTCTTGATCCATTGGCGATCCGACTCGTCTTTCCACTTGCGTACCATGGATTCCTGCGGCTTCAGCCTCGTGTCAAAGACACGGACGGCACCATCACCAAATCCGGCCACAAAGATGTTGCCCGTCATCTGGTCCGATGTGAGTGAGGTAACGCATGAACCAGATCGCGCTGGAATGTCCATTGTGCACGTCTCATGCCCAGCAAACCACACCCGAATAACCCGAACATCGCCGGCAACGAGGACGCGTCCCGTCGCCTGCTGCCAGTCGAAAACCATTCCGGAATTGACATTGCTGGGAACCATGTGTGTGAGTGCCCGCCAAGACGTGGCCAGCTCAATGTCTTGCTCCGAGTCGTAATTGCGATATACTCGAATTACACCATCCGACGATCCGGTCATCAAAATGGCTTGGTCGTCCTCATTGATGAATTTCATGTCGCTAATCTTGGAACCCTCTGGGTTGCCATTGGAGAATTTATTCAGGCGTCCTTGTTTCTTCCAGTCCCAAACGTAAACTGTGTTGGCGTCATCTGCCACCGCCAAGTGGTCTTCGAATTGATGAAACGTCATCTTGGCAGGCTGTGCGCCGTTGTTGATGATGCCCAGCTGGTTGTTCCACCGGTGGGCGCCAGCGATATGCTTGAGGGGCTGCGTTTCTCTCATGATGGCTTCATTCCTGGCCCTCCGCCACAGTCTCTCGTTGTAGTCGGTGCTGCCAGGCTCATCCGCCTCGGTGTTCTTCATTTGGGGTTCACGGAAGTACTCGATTGACCACTCGAGGAACTTGCTCGTAAGTGGCAGGCTTGGCTCCTTGGTCAAGTCGCGCTCTTCATACGAACCGGAAACAGGCTCGCGGGCATTGTGGTATGTTGCCGAGCGGCCAGAGTAGTCATTCTGTTCAGGAGGCGCAGATACACGGTCCGGAGATACCTTTGACGAAGGCGACTTTGGCGGAATCTGGCTGTTGGGAGTGGTAGGCCTAGACTTATCTTCGCTGGTGATGAAGGACTGGAAGAGAAGGCTGGCCGTTCGCCGAAGAAGGCCAGGAGACTGCAATGGCTGGGGGCTGAGAGCGCCATTAGACCTCGGACCCAAAGAAGCCGTGCTTCTGCTGCGCGACGCCCTGTTTGCTCTTCTCTGGACCTCTCCCATCAAGCCATGAGCCGCCTCGCCGAGGCTAGAGTTTATTAAAGCATTGTGAACGTAGTCAATAACCGTCGTAGCCTCCCGCTGCACCTCTGGATGGGGATCAACGCTCAGAATCAAGGCATGTTTCCAGAACGCCATGTAGACCGTATTATGGGAGAGGCCGTGAGCGGTTGGCTTGATCGTCCCGTCTCTCTGTCGGTTATCTGGTCTGGCATAGTGCAGGCCCATTTTGTGATCTTGCCCATCGTCTTGTGGGGGGAACACCAAGTATTCCTTCTCCTCTTGGAGTTGCTCATAGGCGGCAACCAAAAACTTGCTCTCGAAGCGAATGATGAAATGAGACAAGAAGACCAAGAATTCCTTGCGCACAATCGGGCTGCCATCATTTCCCATGTCAAGAATTGTCCAGGCAATCGACTCCTCGATCCGTGCAACCTCTTCCGTCAGGTCGGGGATTCCGAGAAAAGTGGTAAGGGCGTGGATCATGGCAGCCCGTACTTCACAGCATGGATCCTTGGTGAGGAACGCCAGCTTGGCATATGCGTTTTCTCGAATGCCACGCCATTTGGCCTCTGGCAAATCTTGCCACAGCTGGCTGATACATAAACAGGCCCACTGGCGCAGGAGGGGGTTGCCCTCGTTTTGCAGGTGGGCCAGGCAGTAGCTCATGATTTCCGTCTGGTTGCATACCATTTGGCCGTTTCTGTAGCCCTTGCACAGCATGGCCAGGATAAAGGCGCACATGGCCTTGTGCTCATCGCCGTTGACGACGGGCAAGGCCTCGGATGGTTTCAAAATTTGTGCAAAGTAGCTGTATCCACTATCCTTAATCAAATCTTGCTGGCATGAAATATCCACCGCGATGAGTCTTGCCCAGATGAAGACCATGACAGGCTTCAGTTCGGTTGCCGCAGATTGCAGCAATTTCAGAACATAGGGGAAGATGCCAATGCTGAGAGCCAGCTGAACCGACCATGGTCCCAGGTCAAGGAATCTCCCCAACAATATCAAGGCACGTACTCTGTGCTGTTGACTCAGAAGTACCTGAAGGACGACTGGCAATTGGTCGGGGGGCTTTTGGGCCACAGCGTCACCTCTGGTGAGGTAAACGTCAAAGGCAGTCAGCTGCTCGGTGAAGAAGGACGAATTCTGGTATTCGTAGTCGATACCTTCGTTTTCCTTTCTCTCCAACATGGGTAGCTGCGCCAGAGCCATGTCGACGGCCAAATCCCACGTCTCCCACAACGGGTGCTGATGAGTGTCTGGCAAGGCAGGGAATGATTGAGGGTGGCATCCATACACAGTCATGATCCTTTGCGCGAGGAGAAAGTTTCGGAATAGGGCGGCCACCATCAGGTCTTGTCTGAAGAACTTTCTAAATAGATCCCGAGGCAGCGTAGTCCATGCAATGCTGTCAGTAATGGCAGTAAAGATCCAGTTGAGCTCTCCAAGTGGTGTCCTTCTCTCTTGGAGACGACCTGGGAGCTTCTTGGCGCGTTCAGGACTAATATTCGTCTTGAGAGGATTCTGCAAAACGAAGAACCAGAGTGCCATTTCGATCGGGGTCGTCAGGCATGACGTAAACAGATCAGCCGGGAGCAGTGGATTGGTCGGAAGATTCTCCTTGACCGCACACGCAGCTAAATGGATATAAGGTCTATAATTTGTCTTGACGTAGTGAGGATCCCGCTGTGCGGCTTCCTCCTCCTCCTCGTCATGCTTGTCGACAAATCGATGATAGTTATTAAGAATGTTGCCGGCCTCTGAACAGTCCCACACGAAGATGGTGGGCGCCTGGAGCCATTGCTGCAAATCGTACAATGAAACTGGGATATACTGAGTATAAGTCTTATTAAACACCCAAATCTCGCCCGACGCCGTTGGTTTTGGCACACCATGGCCGTTGTAATGCAGCAACACGCGCTCGTCCTTTGCATTGCGACGAAGGGAGATGCAGAATTTTTTCGTCTCTTCAACCGAGGGGTCCAGATACTGCTTGTAGCGAGCCCTGATTGCGAGAGTCTCATACTGCGCTTGAAGGGACTTGCCAATGTTCTCAAGAGCCTTCTGTATAGGGGGGATGGTAGGGTCCGTCCAGGCCTCTAGCTTTGCGCCCGGATTGGTCTTGAGTTGGTCGGGAGGTTCGACACCGATGTTCAAACAAACGGCGAGAGCTGCAGACACCGTCTTAAGCCTGTCTCTTTGGCGCCAATCTTGGAGTTCGTACTGCACCGCCTTGGGCTTGGCAGTGGTTTCGTGCCGCTTATCCGTAAAATACATGTACCAATTCTAGGGTCTAGGGTCAGCACGCTGTCGTGGGCAATACGGGAACGGACCAAGGGTTGGGAGACCATGAAGCAAGATCGTGGTGGGGGGAGAGGAGGGGTGTTGAGAGCTTCGAGAAGATAGGGCTGGGATAGGAGAGGATGATGAGACGTACATTCGCAAGCTGAGAAATGATATGTTCCGACTGGTAGTGGTCTTCAAAACCATGTCTAGCCCCCCATTCGTGAATCTCGTCGTCTTCGTGGTCTGACTCTTCGGTCTGTCGCGGCGCATATTCGCTTTTTGAGCGCTGGAGGGCTGGTTTTACCGGTCGGATCGGTCGCTCAGGTTCGATGCTAGTGTCGTCCCTGGCATCGCCGGCGACAATGCCATTCTTGCGGCCGGGAGCGCTCGATGGCCGCTTGTCGTTCGTCTCGTTGGACTGGGAGTCGCGGTCGGAGCTGCTGGTCGACTGGACCTTGAATCTCGAAGTCTCACCGCCGTTGGTGGCTGCGGCGGCGGATGCGTGTGAGCCATTTGCACCGGATCGCTGCGTCATCTCGGCTGGAAGTCCATGAGCCGCGGCTCGCAGCTCGTCTAATCGCGCAGGCAACGGGGTCAGCAGAGGCTGCTGATGGTCGAGATGGGCGGGCGTTGCTTCTCGGAGGCTCGCAGCGCGTTGCTGTGGGTGCCGAGGAGGCGAAGTTTGTTGCGGTTGAGGCAGAGACATGACGGTCGCGGTCTAAAGTGGAGCACGGCACTACTGTATATTCTAAATCATCATATCGAAGCACCCATGTTCAGCGGTGCGAGTGCGCGGAATGGAATGCTGTTTTTATCGGCCGAGGAAGAGATGCTGCGGGAGATGAAGTTGATGCACGGCTTAAAAAAGTATGGAGATGGAGGATTTGAATGGTAAAGTCACTTCCAGCCTTGAGGAGGGGAGAGTTTGGGGCGAGGGATGGCTTATTGCCAACTACTAACGTTACGCTGCACCTGTGAAAGTCTATTGCCAGCTGCTAACTGGCCGATGCAGCGGTCGTACAGCCCACAGCCATGCATATGCGCGTCTTCGGGTTGCTATCACAACGAGAAGACGCCGACTGTTACTACCCAAAGCTGGGCCATCCATTCTATCCAGTACGGCCCAGCTCTGTGACTGGCGGCTCCAGCGTTTGTTGAAGCCATCCATCCCGCCGCTTGCCGTGGCCCGCCGGAAGCTTTCGAGGCGGGAGGCAAGGCAGCAGGCAGCACTCCGAAAAAAATGTTAAACGCTTATCTCCGTACCGCGGAGTCAAGGTATCTATAAGCTATTGAAGGTTGGCTACGACATGTGAACAATCTATTCTGTTGATGACCTTGTTAGGAAATAGTTGGCGTTTACAGCTACGATGCTTAGAGCACGCTGCTTGTGAATAAGCTAAGCGGCAGACACGAGATCAATACTGATGTCGTGGCGATCTAGAGAAAGACGCTAAAAAGCTTATCCCGCAACAAGCCATTCAGGCACCGCATTTCACACGAGGCATTCCGATAGAGCTTACCCAGTCGGCATGCATCTGGTTGTTGGGTTATTGAAGCTTTCCCGTTGTTTGTCAGGATCAGCCTCTGCCTCCCCAAGAGAGAAAACCCGAGACTAAGAAGATTACGAGCACCTACGCGTTAAATTATACACCTATTCTTTAAGTATCTGCTATTGTACCTATAATTCCCTACTATATCTATATTTCTCTAGTAACTGCTACTATATCTACATTTTTCTAGTAACTGCTACTATGGATATTTATATAATAAAGTTCTAATCCTAGCCGAATAGGCGTTCTACGAGTTGGTTAGGTGCTTATATTAGTGAATGTATGTACGTGTTCATTTTGCAGTCTCGCTTTTGCTGACCTGCGCTTGCTCCCCTGACCGGCTTTCGCAGATGTCGACAAAGAGCACGTGATACCCCATGTCTCTAAAATCAAGATGTTTGTTCATGGGCGATCCACGCTGATACTCCTGGTGACTGAGATCCAATTTGACGACAATGGTCGTTGAGCTATTATTAACCATCTGCCTGCAAGCTAAAAGCAAACCAATATATTACGGTAGCACCTTGAGCAGCTGAATGGTACCATTCGCGAGACAGTGTGGATATCAGCCCGGAGTATGGGAGACCGGTGTAAGTGCCCTACGAGGTACTTTGTAGGTGGTGCTCAGCTACCGTCGGCGCGTTCCGACGAAACAACAATACATGTACCTGAGCTGATGTGAAGATTGCTGGCATCAAGACATAATTGAGACACGCCGCCAAGCAGCACACAGTGTTCCTTTACTTCGATAATGGCCATTTAGGGCTTAGCACTCGAACGAGGAATCTAGATTAGACGGTCTGTGCGCGTATTAGGTCAGAAGCAGCCAAGGCCATTTTGGAGCTCGAAATAGACGCTTCCATTTCTGAGTCCTTCGTGGTAACGAAATACGCGTGATGCATTAGCCCCCAGGTACCTACAGTAGCTCACTTACAAATTCACGCCGACTGGGTCAACAAAGTGCGGGCTTTCTTTGACCTCGAGAGAGAGGGGAAAGAAAAAATCTTTCACGTCCGTCAATAGAGCATTGATATTTTTAGCTCGCGTGTTGCCCAGACGCATCAAATCTCCCCATTGCTGGGCCGTGTACAGGGTAACAGGAGCAGGCAAATATGATCGACGAGGTTCTGCCCCTGCTGGTGGGCGGCTCACAAACGTGTGCGACTGGGGCAAATCAGCTTGCCGACTCAGCCAAGGCTTTTCCGGGTTAATAGCACGAGTAGTACTAATAATTGCCCGCGAGACAATAGGGGAGGAAATGATCAGGAGCATGAAGCCAACTGCGATCAGCATTGGAATTGCTGGGCGGCTACCAAGTGGCATGTACTATACAGTATGTACCGACCGGTTTGCGGAGCAACCAAGCTGTCGGGAATCAAATGGGCGTGAAGAAATCATACGAAATACTGCAGTAGGTGGCGCATTTCTATTTTCAAGCATAAGGTGCTCGTAGATTATTATTATATCTGACATGTAGCACTTGTTACGGGGTCCGTCTGTCTGCTCCAACCGATGCAGGCACGAGCACGATGAGGTCAGCAGTGGACTCTTTTTCTTTCGCAGACGAGCTTCCAGACGAAACTGCAGAGCATTGGCTCGCCACTTCAGATTGTTCCTTGCGTCAGGCTTCCCGTATCCGACGCTGAAATGCCTGTCGCTGCCCCTCCAGCCCCTTGATTTCTGGCCTGCTCCACATCGTCGCCGTCTCCGACCTGCAGAGCGCTACAGCTGAGGGACCAAGTGATCGCCGCTGCCTCTGGCGCACCTGCATGTACCCCCCAGGTCACTGCTGTTAGGAGTCCCCCACAACGCCATGCTGAGGCACGGCGGTACGTCAGTACCTACAGGAGGTTAGTGCACATTGGTGAGCCTGCAGCCCCTAAAAATGTTCACTCAAGCACCCCAAGGACCAGCATCGCCCGCTAATTGGCCCGCTGGCCTGGCCCTGGCACTGTGACAGGAGGCCGAAACGCAGCCCAGCACCAGAAACGAACTGAGGTGAACTGGATGGGCGCCTTTGTCTTTGTCCCCCGTGCTAGCTCCAATCCAATACAATCCATCACCACCAGCAGTCGCTGTGGCTTTTCCCGCCTCGAGTTCAGTCCTCAGCTCTTCTCTCGTTGGGCTTTACTGAGCAATTGCGAGCTGCATCTCTATTCCGCAGGTTCGCGAACGGCAGAGCAAACGAGCGTTGCTGCTTTCACGGATCAGGGCCCTTTTCCTTTTCCCTCCTGCCGCACTCCCGCTGCCCCCCCCAAAATAGGTGGCCACTGAAATTTCGGCGATACTCCCCCGGATACTTCCCACAGATGCTTGTCCAGCCATCTCGACGCTCGAGCTTCGACCCCCTTCTTTCCTAACAATTCTCCAGTCACTCTCTCTTTGGCCTTGTTGAGCCGTCCGTGTCATCGTGTGCGTGTGCGCGCAATCCTCTCGTTGCTGCTTTGTTTGGGGATTCTATTCTCTAGTCGCCATTCACCCACGTTCGTTAACCTCAACAACCTCGACAACCACCACATCGTCCCTCGCCCGCCTGCGAACACGCCACTGCCCGTATTCCGCCAGCGAGCGGTCCGCAGCCGACCATGGCGTTTCTTTTCAAGTCCAAGAAGCACCAGGACCGTACGACTACCAGTCGCGACGGCAGCTCAGGCTCTCAGGGGTCCATCCAGAACGCCCCGGGGCGCGCAGTCGCCAGAGACGACAAGAACACAGCATTGCAGCGCGCGACGCCAACGGGAAGCCTGCATTCTATCGACAACGACACCAATACCTCTAGCCCGGACCAGGGCCAAGTCCAAGGCCACGGCCGCCGCACAGGAAGCGTTGATACGTCCCAGCCGAGTGATTTGCCTGTGAGTGACCTTTGTTCGGAGCTAATCCCACCGACTACCGCAGTGTGACATCTAACACGCGCAAACCCTCAAGTTTCGAAACCAGCCGCCCGTGAGCAACAATTCCAATGCCTCGCTCTATCCGTGGTCGCAGCGGCGCTTGACATACACTTCGTCGCATCCCAGTCCATTTCCTCGATATGGCGCCGCCGTCAACTCGGTCGCCTCCAAGGAGGGAGACGTTTATCTGATGGGTGGTCTGATCAACTCCTCGACTGTAAAGGGCGACCTTTGGATGATCGAGGCCGGTGGTAGCATGACATGTTATCCACTGGCGACAACCGCCGAGGGCCCGGGGCCTCGTGTTGGCCATGCTAGTCTGCTAGTCGGCAATGCGTTCATCGTTTATGGAGGAGACACCAAAATTGATGATAATGACATCTTGGATGAGACTCTATACCTACTTAATACTTGTGAGTCTCCATCACCTATTGAACCCCCCTAAATACAAAAGGCATCGAGAATCTTACCACAGTCATTTGTTTATAGCAACACGGCACTGGTCCCGTGCCCTGCCCGCAGGGCCTCGTCCATCGGGACGATATGGTCACTCACTCAACATTCTTGGCTCCAAGATATTCATCTTTGGTGGCCAAGTCGAGGGCTTTTTCATGAACGATCTCTCTGCGTTTGATCTCAACCAACTGCAGTCGCCGACCAATCGATGGGAAATTCTTCTCAAGGCAGAAGCGAGTCCCAAGATGCCCGCCGCGCGAACGAACCATTCCATGGTGACATTTAACGATAAGATGTATCTGTACGTGTGATAAACCGGCCCTATACAGCTGTTGTTCTCTCTGACCACTATTGTTAGGTTTGGTGGCACGAATGGTTTCCAATGGTTCAACGACGTCTGGTGTTACGATCCCGCAGTCAACAAGTGGTCGCAATTAGATTGCATCGGCTATATACCCGCTCCTCGAGAAGGCCACGCTGCTGCTCTGGTGGACGATGTTATGTATATTTTCGGAGGAAGAACCGATGAAGGCACTGATCTGGGAGATCTTGCAGCGTTCCGTATCACGCAGCGGAGGTGGTATACTTTCCAGAATATGGGTCCCTCTCCCTCGGCTCGATCCGGACACAGCATGACCACAGTTGGAAAATCCATTGTTGTGCTTGGCGGAGAACCTAGCACTGCTTCTTCGTCTACTAACGATCTTGGCATTCTCTACGTATTGGACACGACTAAGATTCGGTATCCCAACGATGCTCCAGGAGGGCCCCAGAGAATACCCCAAGCGCGACGGCCAAGCGATGCATCGAATCCCAACAGACAGCTCCCGATGCGCGATGTATCCAACGGAGGAGGCCCTCCCGAACCTGGAAACATGATTGTCGGCGGCCCATCCAGCATCAACAACGAACCAGCTACCCGGAGAATTGTTTCCAATGGCATGGAACCAACTGGCTCACCAGGCCTTGGAGGGCCAGGTACACCTCCTCCGGCCGGTGCGCCACCAAGAGCACCCGGAGGCCCTCCTAGAGGCCCCCCCGGCCCAGGAGGTCCAGGAGGTCCAGGAAACAAAATGCAGATGCCCAGAGCTGCCGCAACTGCCAGCCCCTCCGGACCGCCTCCGCAAGGCCCAACCCCTGCTAAACCGGGTCCTGATCCGTCTGCCGTGGGACGTGTCCGAGGTGCGTCAGTTGATCGGGCGCCGACGGGCTCACCCCAGCTGGCTTCTGCCCCGTCGCCAATAACCCGCGAAATAATACCTGAGGACGATGCACCTGCACCTACCTCTGCACCCATGTCTGCAGCAGGCAACCCTGTTAACGGGCGACGAACACCTACTACGCCTACTCAAGTTTCAAGGACAGGATCTAAACAAGGTTCCTTGGGCGGCAACGAACCCCCCAGGGGCAAAATGCGCCCAGGACCAGGTTCGATCGATAGCATGGCAGAAGGAGTGCAGAGGGCCACGCCAGAGGGTATGCAGAGGGCTACACCTGATGGAATGCAGAGACCTGCACCAGAAGGTATGCAGAGAGGTCCCCCCGAGGGAATGCAGAGAGGTCTCCCCGAGGGAATGCAGAGAGGCCCCCCTGAAGGGATGCAGCGAGGCCCCCCTGAGGGCATGCAGCGAGGCCCCCCTGAGGGCATGCAGCGAGGCCCTCCTGAAGGCATGCAGAGACCTGCGCCAACTCGACCGGCTTCACCCCCGCATACAGCCAAGCCGATGAGCGCCAACCTCAACCGACGTTCATCAGGCCGAAATTCGCAGACTGTTGCTCTTCTCAAGGAGCTTGACAACGCCCGAAATCGGAATGCGTGGTATGCATCGGAACTCGAGTTGGCCAGGAAAGGTGGTTATGTTCCCAATGCCTCCATGGGGCCTGCACTGGATGGAAAAGCTGTCGAGTCCTTTGACGACGAAGACAGACCACTGATCGAGGCTCTTTTGGCTATGCGCACAGAATTAGCAAACGTTCAAAATGCTGTGGACAAGCAAGCTATTGTTGCTGCCAAGCAGATAGCGGAGGCAGAAAGGCAACGAGATGTCGCCATTCAGGAAGCCGTTTATGCCAAAGCTAAGCTGGCTGCTCAGAGTGGCGGAAGTGTATCAAGTACCCCTCAGCCCGAGGGTGGAGAGGATTTTGCTGCTCGATCGGCAGATATGAGCAAGAAGCTCGCATCTGCCCTCAACCACCAAAAGAGTCTTCAGACACAGCTAGAGGCGGCGAAATCCGAGCTTGATGCCGAGAAGAGAGCCCGCAAGCTTGCTGATGACACAACATCGGCCGCCCAGAAGCGTATGGCCGATTTAGAGGCCTACAAGCAGCAAAATTCTGGAGAAGTTGAGCGTCTGAAGGCGGAACTTCACTTCTCGCAGCGTGAAGCCCGGGAGCAAGCAGTGGCCGCCGCCGAGGCTGTGGCTGCCCTGGAACTGCTGCGAGTTGAAAAGGAGACTATTTCGAGGAAGCTTGACGAAGTTGCCGATTCATCAAATGGTCGAGAAGAGACATTTGAGTCTCTCAGGGCCGCTATTGAAGCGTCGCAAGATGCGAGCGCCCACCTTGAGACAAAACTTGAAGAAGAGAGAGCCCAAAGGGAGAAGGTCGAAGGGAAGCTGACTAAACTCAAAGCTGAGCACGAAGCGCGCACAGCAGAATTAGTTGCTGTCACCCAACGTCTACGGGACGCAGAAGAGCTTGCCGAGAAGCACGCTACTGAAGCACGCACGCATCGGGAAGCTGTCCTTTCAGGACTTCAGAAGCTCACTGCGAAGGACGACTCAGTTGCGCATAATGGAGATGCTGAACGTGCCGTTGCACTCCAAAACCAGCTCACTGCTGCGAATGCTTTAGTTAAGAAATACCAGCAGGAAGCAGACATAGCTGCCGATAGGCTGCGTAGTGCGGAAGAGCGCATTGCTGGACTAGAGCAGTACCAGGAGCAGTCCAGCCGTGAGGGCGTTGGTATTCGAC